CCTCCCAGGGGAGCTGCTCCAGCCCCCCCAGCATCTTTGTAGCCCTTCTCTGGATCTGCTCAAGCGTGTCCGTGTCCTTCTTATGCCGGGGGCCCCAGATCTGAACACAGCGCTGCAGGTGGGGTCTCAGCAGGGCAGAGCAGAGGGCAAGAATCACCTCCCTTGACCTGCTGGTCATGCTTCTTCTGATGCAGCCCAGGATACGGTTGGCAGTTTTCGGTCCTTTTGTCATTCTCAGTATAAAAAAGTAAAAATCAAAAGATTCTCTAAACTGATCCTATCTAAGTAGAAAGCTGACACATTTTTATCACTGCTGTGATATTCCCGTGTGCTGCCAAGAGGGCCTGGAGAAGGGGACCTGAAGGAATTGGTGTATTTTATAAACAATCCAAACAGCGCAAGAGCATGTTCAAGCATAAATTATTACTGAAACTGAAGAAAGGACAACACTGCTACAACATCCTCAGATTCAGAGCCCCTTCCAAGGAAAAGTGCTGGCAGGCTGCTCTCCTGGGGTTTGCTCGGGTCGCTGTCCTGGAAGCCCCTGGGGACACGCCGGCTCCTTCCCGCGGCGCTAGCAGGGTCGCTGTGAAAGGCACGCCGTCCGCCCGCTGCTCGGGGCCCAAGCGCCTGGTCCCATCACGGGCTTCCCTCCGCCCCGCAGGTGGGGATGGATGCCCATAGGGATAAATATTTGTCACTCCCACAGGATTTAGGTACGGAGCAGCAGGGCCACTTGGCCCAACGGCAGAATGGCTGGCCGTGCCATTCAGATTTTTGACTTAGTGTTTACTGAAGTAAAGACTGTATTTCATCTACACAAACCAAGCAGCTTGTCCGGTAATTTGCCTGTTCTTTCTTTTCAGTCAAGAAGGAGCTGGACAGCCCCAGCCCAAGCTGTGAGCTTTGCTTGGGACACTGGTCAGAGCGGCAGCAGAAGTACAGTCCTTTGTGAACGGGGCAAGGCCCTCCTGCTGAAGTACACAGGGGTCTTTGGAGTGAGATGGGAAGGGCTGGAGAAGGCAGATCTGCTCCACGATCTCCCCGGTGGGGCCGTGGGAGCTGGAAGCATGACCAAGGCTTCTCACCTCTTGTGCCCAGGGGATCTGAGGACCTGTGAAAGTGCCAGATGCAGTAATCCAGGATTAGAAATGTATCTGGACAGCTTCTACAGCGGAGGGTACAAGGAGAATCGAGGAACTGGGATGACCACGCAGAACTGATACAGACAGCAGGAACAAGACCTTTCTTCGGGGTCCTTTCTTTAAGGCCTTCCCCATAACCTGGTCCTTCTGAGGGGCATTTTCCGAGCCACTGCTAAGGGAGAAGGACCTTTAAGAGCTTAGCCAGTCTTTTAAGTCATCTTCTGAAAATCATTCATAAATTCCTATTAAGAGTTCATGAGGCTGCTAGGCTACAAACACGGACACCAAAAACACTAAGGGGAAAAAAAAAAAAAAAAAGGATGATACTAAAATATGTGTCCTCTTCTGACTCTTACCCACTTCTCACTCTGAACTTTCAAGGTCAAGTGCGGATCCAGGGAATGAGCTCATGTCCTGCCTCTGCAGCCTGGCACTGTTGCTGGGCCACCGTGCAGAGCCAAGACTCGGCACAGCTTCAGCCCCACACTCTGCCCCAGGGAAACCTGCCCTCGCCCAGCCAAGGGCGCCTGGCCGGCCGGGGACCAGAGCAGGACGCACCCAGGCAGCTCTGTTTTCTTCCCTTTTTGCCTTCGCTGGGACTCCTGGAATGTATTTGCACATGGTGGAAAAAATGCGAAGAGCAGGGAGAAGCAGCCAGGAACATGGTCCTTCCTGCCGGTGCTCGGCTGGCACGGTGGCTCACGTCAGCAGCAGGAGCCAGGGGAGCCGGAGGAGCCCCTGATGCCTGTAGCGGGTGAAACGGCCAGAGAGGAGATGGATTTTGGGGGTAATCCATTCTGGAATTGGAACAGGAAAACGTATCACCTGCACAAACTCAGTTAACGCAGGCTCGCAGCAAAAGGGGCGAAACCTGTTTTGATCAGAAAGCTGGCTTGCAAGGAGCACAAAATATTTTACAAACTTTTGAACCCATCTTCTCCCTGGTTTCATTAAGGGGCATCTTTTATCCTGTCATAAGAAACAGCAACAAGACTAATTAGTTTAACAAGTACAACAAATGGTTTTATTGACAAAAAAGAACCCTTTGAAATATACATTACATTCACAAAGGATTAAATTACAGCCTATTATCCATTTTCCATAAAATAAAGATTACTTTGATAAATCACAACTAATGTTATCTTTGGCTGGTAAGAACTCTGTGCTTATTTGTGTGGCTTCTATAAATAGCGTGTTCTGAATTTTGTTTCTCCCTAAATATAGTCAATGATACAGTCTGCCAGGCATTTTCCTGCAATTTGACAATACCACATCTGTGAACTGGGCAGCAAATGAAAGCTTCATTGTCTGCATACGAGACATGCAACAGTCTTTTTCTTTTTAGTCAGCTGTTCTGCAACAATCTATCAAACACCTTTCAGCCAGATCTCGCTCGATCAAGGTTTCCTTACTGCTAAAGCAAGGCAGTCAAAATAAACTTTGTTAAGAGGAAAGCCTTCGCAGTTCATCTTTCCAGAGTTTGCAAAGCCTGTACGACAGCTGTAGCACGATGGGGTCGTACCCTCACTGCGGCCTTAAGGCACCCAAGATAACGTACATTAAGATGGGGGATAAGCGCACGCTTTGGGGTGCGAGAGGCTCCTTTGCACTTTGCCTTTCCATAGCTTTGCACCAGAGAATTCGGCAGATTACTGAAGATTTACCCACGTCACCTTTGAGGGGATGAAGGACCGAGACAAAAGCAATGTCTTGGGTTTACTTCAGCCCCACACCAGCTCCACAGGAAGCGGCTCTTCCCTCAAGGACGCAGGTACCCGGGGTGTCGGGAGACCTTTGTGTGACACGAGGCTGACCCATCCTTCGCGCATTTGGTAACTGCATCCCCTGGGCTCGTGCCAACATCCCCGTGGGAGCACCAGCCCAGCAGGGCAGCAAACGCCCGGTTTAGTAGAGCACAGGAACACAAGCTCGCCTTTAAAACGCCTTTAAAAAACTTTCGAAGAAGCAGTTTGGTTCTGAAAAACTGAAGTTGGCTTCGTACCGTGCAGCGGACGGCTGGAGACACCCGCCCGGCCACCCGAAGGGCACTGCCGCTCCCTCCCGTCCCTCAGGACAAACATCCGAGTCCAAGTCACAGTCATTTCTCACGCTCTGAAATTCTTTCAAGGAACAAATTGGCTCCGAGTTCAACCACGGCTTTGTACGCTGCCGGGTGGCTCGAAGCATCTCACCGTACGCGGGATTGCCCGAGGGTTGGAACCGGTGCGGCAGTCGCGGGACTGGCTCGAAGCTTAAGGCTGCGACGTGCTTAACAACGGTGGGGAAAAGGTGCAGAGGTTCTGGGAACCTTCAGCAAGTAAATCCCATACGTGAGCGAGTTCAGTTATATGGCGCACCTTTAACTTCCACTGCCAGTTCTCTTCTAATCTGCGTTTTGAAAATTCTCCAGACTATTCAAACGTAACATCAATTTAACATCAATTTATGGCATGAAACCCTCCCCATGGCTGTTCTGGGTGGGTGCCCTCATCATAAACAGCCTTCTCTTTTTCTGCATTTTCCCTCGGAAGCAGGTGGCAGTGGATTTCAAAAAACCCACACCCATGTCTCTGTTGCTTCTGGAGGGTGTGTTTTACTCACGGAAATACGTCTAACCCCTTCGTTTAATTTTAAAAATGTTATAAGCTTCCCACCCCCTGGGTTGCCCGAGAAGCGACTCGGCAAGGCAAGCAAAGGGATCAAACAACAGATAGGGTTTTTTAAATGAATGGAAAAATTTAGCGGTTCTGAAAGTATTTTCCTCCAATATGTATTTCGAAATCTTTAATAAAAAAAAAAAAAATTACAGCTGAGTCTATTAACAAACAAAATGCATGGCTAGAGTCATAAATCTCAGAGAACAGGGAGGAGCACTCGGAAATACTGCGAAACAAATGTATTATCACCTTTCCAAACCTCCTAAGGCTTCTCTTTTCCCACCACGGAAAACAAAAAAATCACTGCAGCTGGCCTGCCGTGTGCTTGCTATAATTGAAACAGCTTTTCTATCTTATTTCCATAGCGGTGTGCGCATTTATAAAGAGGGGAGGAGAGGACTGGACACGCGGGACCGAACGCAGAGGCGGTCTGTCACCGCACGGCAGCTCGCTGCCTGCCCCACGCTCCGTGGGCGACCGCCTCCCGGGACAGAGCGTCCGTCGGGGCCGGGGAGAAGGTCCCTTCCCAACAGCCGGGGGGGGGGCCGAGGCCTCGGCGCCCTCGGGACGGCTCCCACGGACGTGCCGCAGGGCCGGGCCCCTGTGTGGCGCCCCCCGTGTTTTGCACCGATTTCCGCACAGCTGCCAAATTCACGAGCGGAGAACGCAGAGCTGCCCCACCTCCCCCTACACCCCGGCCAGGGGTTCGGGAGCCCTCCAGGCGGGCGCGGTGCCGATTCCGAGGCGCTTTGGCCCAGAACGCAGCTCGCCCGCTTCCCACGGGGGCGCTCCCGGCACCGGCGAGCGCGGCCTCGCACCCGCGTGTTCTCAGCCGTGGGCTGGGGGGAGCGCTGCCCGCCCAGCACGGGCGGCGTGCCGGCACTGCCCCCCGCCCAGGCCGCCCACGCACCCAGAACCGGGCTCGCCGCCCCACGCCCCGCGCCCCGCGCCCCACGCAGGGCTGGGCGGCTCAGCCCGGCCCGGGGAGCGGCCCCCCACGCGCCGTGGCCGGAGCTGCAGGCAGTGCCCGGCCCCCCCCCCCCCCCCCCCCCGGTCCCGGGGGTGGGAGCGCCGGGGATTTGGAGAGTAAAAGGGTCAAAACTGCCACGCGAGAAACGGCCGGCCGAAACCCACCCCCCTCCTCCTCCCTCCCCCTGCGAAGGCAAACAAAGGGAGACAACAACACGGGAGACAGAAGGCGGGAAATCAAACGCTTTTATTGATGTCCGCTCTCATTTGCGACCCTTTCTCATTTACTTTAATCGAACAAACCCGAATTGGAGATTGACTTTGGGTTTTGGAAGTTACAGCTTCGACAGCTTTTGCATTTTTAAGAGCAGATGAATCCACGGCGAAGTCTCCCCGTGGACTCAAGGACGGGAAGCAACTTCTTACTAATCCTCATGCAAACTACTGACTGGTTACTGGAGACTGAGGTTGAGTGTAATTTCAGGAAAAAGTTCACTCTTATGAGTATGTTAATCTAATAACAAGCTAATTTATAATCCTTTCACAACTGATGTAATTTTCACATATTAGATAATAATTACAGGCATATTGAGCAACATTAACATTATTAAACAACAATGAGCAGCCTTCTGAATATATGCTATGGTACTGCAAAATCTGAGTCATTCAAAGTGCCTCACCTAATAAGAGAGCGTATTTTCCATTAGAACTCTGCCAAGCCTCCAGAACTTTTTGTCTTACTGGTCTAGGGTTTTTAAATAAAATAAACCTAACATTCACATTTACAGAAGAATTTACGCCTGATCCAAGAACCCCAGGGACACTTACACTTTCAAATCTTTTTCTATTATACCAACAAATTATGCCTATTTGGAAAAGGAGCTATTGCTTTACTGTGGTATTACCAAGGAAGCTGATTTCTGAGTGCACTGGATAGATCTTCTGCAGCGAGTTTTCCAAGAGACTAAAATGTCTTGCTGTTGCTCTTCGGCAAGCATACACTAAACTGCAGACTCGGCTGCCGCTAAATACGCATTTCATATGGGGAATATTATTACTGATAAAAATAAAATATGTAAGTTATTCAATGTGAATGACTACTTATCTCCCCCTTGATGTATATAAATAAGACATATCTAATATGAGTGTAAACTCGGGCAACTGTAATAACTCTGTGGCCCCCATACAACAACAGAGGGGAAAAAAAAAAAAAAAAAAAAGCTAAATGCTTCCAACAAAACAGCTTACATTATCCTTAAAAAAAAAAAAAAAAAAAAGGCAAACAAAAGCCCTAACCCCAAAATACCCCAAATTCCTTTTACTAACTTTTAGTTTCCTGAAGGTTTCTCTATAACAAGGCTTTCCTAAAAGAAGAATATGTCTAAAGAACTTGCAGAAAATTATCATAAGGCCCAACAGAGAACAAGTGTCCTACTTATCTGTCTTCCTCTTACTGGAAGCAAAGGTCCCCCAAATCGTAACTCCCTACAGAATTAGGGTTTCTGTACAGAGCAGGGTCAGCTTTGCGCTGAAGGAGGAAAGAAATGAAACGTTTGCTCCAGGCTTCCCACACACCAGCTGCGAACAGCTACCCCCCAGCTCTCCTACATAACCCCCAGCACAACCCGCGGCTGCCACCGGTGAACTGTAGCTTTCAGGGCACGACTGCACCCATACAAACCCTGAAAATCTCTTGGTGGATCATTAACTGAATAAAGTCCTGTCCTAGAGCAGATGGACTTTTTCTGTACTCCAAAAAACAGGCAAACCAAAACCCACGTACATGTGAAGGAGGAATGGCCACACCGCTGTGCAAACCATTTTCCAAACCTACGTTGTCACTGGTCCCAGCCTTAAGAGATCTGCAAGTTTCAACTGATACAAAAATTCCTACAGAACAACTGCACTAAAACAAAACCCTTCCTAGAGAACAAAATTATACAAATAATTTAAAGCATTAAGTTCCAGGTTATATACCTGCACATAGTTCAAGTATTTTTTTTTTTTTTTTTTTACAGAAAATACCAGAACTAGTAACAACAATAATGGATTCCAAAATAGGAGAGAAATTTTGCCCCAAACAGTCAATCAACAGGATTTGAAAAACAGCATCAAATATTCTGAAATGATTTATGAACTGTAAGCATTATGGACTCGAGACATTCAAAATATATCAGTCGTATTAAAATTACAGTTATCAGCCTTCAGTAGATGGTAGGCGGAGAAAAAGAGTGAACAAACAGGGAAAAAATAAAAATATTGGTGAGGTTGTGAGAGACACTGGTTCAGTCTCTAGTTGAAAGGATTATGTACAGCAAGGAAAAGCCTTCTTTCTCCTTTACTCCCTTTTTCAAAGAGACTGCATGTTGTCAAGGTCCCTTTCCATTAGAGGAATACATTAAAATAATTTTTAATCTATATTCTATTTTCTGGCCCATAGAAGGTATTCAAACACACAGGAAAGACTAGACTTGTGCCAAGCAGATTGAACAAAACCGCATTCCTACATACTTTAACTATACAGTTACACATCAAAATTCAAAACAAAAAAAATAACTCAGTGCAAGTATTTAACAAATACAGAATTACACGTTCTGATCAATCTGGGGGAAGCAAGACTATGAAAGGAGTGCCTGAACTTGATGAGGAGATCGGTGTAGTGTGGTTTCTGGATCCTTATATTCATTTGAAGGATCCATCACAGCTGCATATAACTCACTGTAAGCTCTGCAGATCAGTTCTGTCGACTGCTTTATTATCTGCTCTCTAAAAAAAAAAACGAAAGAATAATTTGCAAGTCATACGGAATATAACTGCATTACCTACAAAAAAGTAAAGATATACACTAAAAACACACATTAAATATCAATGTCAGATTAAAAAGCCTTTTCACTTCAACTGTGAAAACAGCTGAACGTTTTAAAGTAACAGAAGGCTTCTTCATTTCTTCGTATCGTACACAGATAAACTCACAGATAGGATCCTGATAGCCAAGAAATTAGCTTCTTTATTTCTGCAGCCATTAAAAAAGTAGAAAGATTTGATTTGCATACAGTAGTTTTTCACCTGCACTCCCCTGCATCTTTTAAAAGACTGATTATCTCAGTGATCTCCCTTCTACCTCCTATGGCTTCTCACTGTCCCTTCTAAATACACTTTTTTTTTTTTCCATCTACCAACAAATATATTCTATTTGCTTTATCTTGACAGCACCTGATTCCATAATTGGTCAAAAAGGAAGAGCTGAAAGCGATAGTGATCAGAGATTTAAAACTTGCTGCAGCCTTTTACCAACAATGCTGTCAAGTCTGTATGCTGTTATTTTTCTGGATCTAAATCTGCGACAATGCACAGAGATCGGGTTCTAAATTTAACTGGAAAGTTTAGTATTTTTTTAAGACAAACTAATATTTTTATTTTACACTGCCCATTGAATCAGTTTACTTTGATCACCATGGTGATGTGCTTACAGCTGTACCTGCACTTTTATCTACCCGAAATAGTAGTTGCAACTATTTTATGGCCAAACCCCTGGCAGTGGAGCACCAGGGGAAGCTGAGCACACCAAGGTAATCGTGAACCCAGGTTCAGCCCTGCTGTGATACACAGCAAAGGAATAAAGACACCAAAACTGCATCCACTAAAATAAGGGCTGAACTTACCAGATGCTGCGAACTGACAAATTAAAGAAGTCTCAAAGACCAAGTGTGAAGAATTTGGTCTTTCCAGGTAGTATTAAGAAACGGAAGATATGAGAAAGAAGATTAAGAGACAAACCCTGCCATTTATTCTGGTGCAAAGTAGCCAGGTTTTCAATACACAGGATCAATTGCCAGGATCGCTAGATTATGAGCATAACTGAAGACCAGACTGGCCTTATAATAGCAAATTTAAAACCACTACTGCGAGGCAACACCTATTCAAGGTGTTCAGGTGAAATAACTGTCTCTGAACAGAGTCTGGGATCACGAAGCTACTGTACCACCACAGTCGTTTAGGAAAGTACTGCACACAGAACTAGTATAAAATTAACTGCATTGCACCAAATAATATTAAAGGAAAAAGTTCATTAAAATATTCCGGAGGATTGAACAGCATCAAATGAGTCTTTCCATCACATAATGTCAGTGTCATTAATCAGTACGTTAGGATTTCAGTTGCCATAACAACACGATACATTTTATCACTGACACAAATGGCAGCGCCTTCTAAAAATAGTCAGGCCGGCGCTCAGTCTCCCTGATCCAACACAAACGAAAAGAGCTTTTCAAGACCAACAACACATAAATAAACAGCTTGAAACTTCCCGAACGAGCAAAGGAGTTTGAAAGACCAGAGCGTGCGCTGGCAAAGGCCGGCAGGAGGGACGCTCGCCACAGCTGCTGGCGGTGCCGCCAGCCAGCGCCCCGCGGGCTGGCCCCGCGCCCGGCGCCTGCTGCCGGGGCCCCAGAGCCACAGGGCTCCCGCGCGGCCCCGGGCCACTGGGCCACACGTACGTGACTTCAAGGAATGCATCTTCAAAACTGACATCAAACAGCTGCAGAACTAACTCGAAAATTTTAATTTCTGGCTACAGTAGTTGCAGTTATAGTACTGGCTAAATATTTGGCTTGGATTCTGAGAAATTTCTGGATTTTGAAGGTTTATTTACCGCAGAAATATCGACTGTTAAGACCCTGATTCTGCAAGCGTGCTTCTCTGTAAACAGGTATCTTCACTTCAGAAGGACTGCAGGTGTTTAAAGCTACAGGTCTGAAGGCTAAGGGGCCAAGAGACTTTTTCTTTTTTTTTTAATTCAGAGCAGAACCAGACCTATAGCAGGTTAATAAACTTCCACCCATTAGTGGAGCTGTAGCAGCTACAGCAATCATCCTCACACAGGTTCACCTCTCAGCTGCCCACTGTTGCAAGATAACATGAATTCGGCTTAAATTGCGCTGAGAGGTTTAAAAAGCTTATCACTAGGATAAGGCTAAGATTGCATACATGACCAGTTTATCTTGGTTCATCTGATGGAAGAAATGATTAAGTCAAGGTAATTTCACTCTGCCCGAGTCTTTATGGAAGCATAATGTCTACCCCCGAAAAACTGCCTCTGTGTTAGCACTGAAAAATTGAGGCTTTCAAAATACATTTACTGTTATTATGATTTTTAAATAACCTACATTAAAAAAAAAAAAATACCAAAAGCTAAAACACAGGTTTACTAGCTGGAAGCAGCGGTTGCAGTGCTCGGTGACACTGCTGCCCGAGCCGCCCGGGAGCGGAGCCGCCCGCCCACGGCAGGGCCAGCCCCGCTGCCTGAGCCGCCGCAACTGCAGCCCCGCCGAGAGCGGGAAAAGCACCAACGGCCCCCGGCACGGGACGGGACGGGCTGGGCTGTGCCAGGCCGGGCCGGGCCATGCCATGCCGTGCCAGGCTGGGCCGTGCCGTGCCGGGCTGTGCCGTGCCGGGCCGTGCCAGGCCATGCCGTGCCAGGCCATGCCGTGCCGGGCCGTGCCATGCCGGGCCATGCCGTGCCGGGCCGTGCCATGCCAGGCCATGCCGTGCCGAGCTGGGCTGTGCCGTTCCGGGCCATGCCGGGTCATGCCGGGCCGGGCCATGCCATGCCGGGCTGTGCCATGCTGGGCCGTGCCATGCTGTGCCGTGCCGTGCCGTGCCAGGCCGTGCCGTGCCGTGCCACACACCAGGTGTGCGGCATGACACCGGGAGCCTCTGGACGAGGAGAACCTGAGCAACACTGCCGGCGAACCTGTCAGCTGAACTCGCCGACCACCGTACGTCCCTTGTACATCCCTTCCAACTGAACGATTCCATTCTATTACATTTCCAACAGTAAATATTTTTGCCTCAACATATGTAATTTTTTAATCGCAAGATGCTGTCATACACTCCTGCTGAGGACAGGTGCTAGTAATGAGACTCCAAATATCATGGCATTACGTAAAATGGGCTGTGCCAGTCTCCATTTCTGGTACATTCTGTAACGTGCACTCTTCACAGGTGTGAAAAATGACATCAAGAAAAGTTTTTGATCAGTGCAGCATTTAACTCCGAGTTTAAGTATTGCCAAATGTCTTCATAGGGTTCACATTTTACTGGAAAGAAATTTGTGGCACTTTCCCTAGCCTTGGGGTTCAGTTGTAGTCAAATAAACAAGAGAACAGATAAAGTTCTTGCTTTCGTATTTCAAAGAAGAAATCACTAAAACCCAAACATACTAGGTAAAAAGTAATCTCAGCACAATATTCAATGATACAGAATGCCCATACTCTACAGCAGAAGAGAACAAAGTTGAAAATTCTAGACCTGATGGAGCAGTGGGGATACAAAAAATCTGGAGTGGAGAATTACGTATTTCATCTGTCTCTGGAATGTTTACAAAATAGTTCTAAACCAATTTACAATTAAGTTAACAAAAAACTGTTGACACAGCAGACCATGTTCAAAATAGATGATGTGTTTCATTTTGATGGTGTCCACTAAATCAAGAGTAATTACTTCAGAAAGTTACAGAATTACATTCTCCTCATTGCTTGTTCGAAAGAGGAGAGTCGGAACAAAAGTGATTTGTGACCTGAAGGACAGTGCAAACATGATCACAGCTGATAACTCGAATTCTCATTATGATCCAATAAAACCTAATCAAATTAAGCTTTCTGATCACTATGCACACATAACGGAAATTCAAAAGTAAGGCACGTACTTCACAGTGGCACTCAGAAGAAAGTTCAGCTGGGACATTAACAGACTATCTGGAGCAGAGAGGTAGCGATCAAACTGAGCCTAGGGGTGGGGGGAAAAAAGAGAATACGAGATCAACATATTAAAAACTTGCTGTTAGAGGAAAATAGGTAAAAACACAGATTGCTGAAATGTGATTACATTAAAATGGCACCTTCTTATGTGATAATAATTTCTCTTTTTGTATGTTTAAGATAGTCTAACATACTATACAAATGTTTAAGGTAGAACTTAGTAGTCCAAACTAAACGTCTAACTTCAGCACCTCTGTCACCAAAATTTTAAGTTTCTGACTCTGAAGAGTACAGGTGCAGGGCCAAATAATGAGAATCCAGCTTCCATAATTATCCAAGTTTACTATGCAGCTGGTACATGTATGCCTGCACCTCTGAAGATCAGATCTAGTCTCATCAGTGCAGAAGGAATACAGTAGTCTCCAGATCTAGACTGTCCAAGTTAGACTAGCTTCTTTCTTTCTTTCTGTTTCTTTCTACTTTTTGGCAGGGAGTCACTACTTAATAATCTAATGAGCACTTAGGTTGGGAGAAACAAGAGCAAGGGACCTAGTTCAGGCTCCTCCAACTGCTTCTAGGCTTACTGCTCCTCCCCCATATAGTATAGTAAAAAAAGTTGTGGTGCTTTGATTCTAGTAGTTTGGAGAAGAAAACACTAGGAAAGAACATGACTGTTGTCTTCAATCATCTATCAGAGCAGCTGTGGGTGCCCCCTCCCTGGAAGGGTTCCAGGCCAGGCTGGACGGGGCTGGGGGAAGGGGGCCCTGCCCGGGGCAGGGGGGGGCACTGGAGGGGCTTTGAGGGCCCTTCCCACCCAAACCAGTCTGGGATTCTGTGATCAAACGGGTGACTACAGAGAAGATGGAACCAGGTCTTCTCACAGGTGAAACCATGAATACAAGTGGACACATATTACACTAAGGAAAATTCTGAGATACTGAGAGGAAAAATTTTCACCAGGAGTGTCATCAAATACTGAACAAGTTACCCAGAAAAGCTGTGTAATCTCCATCCTTGGAATTATTCACTCCGTCAAGGCCCTACGCAACTTCACCTAATGATGGCAACCTTCCTGAACACTGGATGAATCTCCTCGAGCTGGTAAACCCTAAAATCCACATCCATTATTTAAATGTGCAAGAAGTGGGCACAAATGACTAATTAAGTCACTCTCAGTTCTCACAATTTAACTTTTTGGGGTTACCTGACCTCATTCATTCGGAAGGCAAGGGAGCTTTAGCTGAGAGAAAGGTATGGACTTAACTAGAACAGCATTTGTAGGCATTTAAAAGGCTGGGACCTGGAAAACTTTCAGGTTAAGTTGGGAGGCAGTGAGACTGCCTGCCAGTACTTTCTCCACATGGTTTAAATCCTGGAAAGCCAACAGTTTAGGCTAAGAGATGGGATTGACGTGGGTTCGATTTCAGCATACTGGCTTCCCTTCTGGTTGAAGTGTATTCACACAAGAAGACAATAAACAAAGTAAAGAAGAAAGGAAAACAGCTGGAATCCTCTCTAACTATTCAGGTAAAATTATTACGTACCACTGTAAGTAACAGAGTTACATATACAAAATTTAAAGAGATGGTCCCCAAGCTGCAGTCTTTAAAATCCTAATTGGTTTGCATGAGCATGGTAAATAGAAGATATTTTAAATGACAAATTTATAAATAATGATAAGAAAGCATGCTGATCTGAGTGAACCACGGAATGCTCTGTGCCAGAGCTCTGCCCGTCCAACCAACCTGGGAATCACCAGTTTAAAACCTCAACAGAGAAAAACTGGCAACGTTGACACAATTAGGAGGGATTCAACATACTATTTTTTAAAGTTTGGGGTTTTTAAAAATTCTTTTAAAAAGACCTTTTTTTTTGGTGAGGTTGCACGTGTACTGATGGATGAGCAGGCCTTATTTATGGTTAAACTTTCAGAATAAAGCTAAACTTGGCTAGGCAAGAAGAGTGACAGATCATACATTATTGCCTACTGAAATGTGATATTGCTATCTCTATGCAAAACAGCCTTCACACAGTCTAAGAAAACATATCAGCTGATAACTTGTTTTATTGTAGCTTTCAACTTAAAAAATATAACTGTGACGTATGCCCAGCACCTAACTTCTGAGTTTAGCTAAACTATTTGCATAAAATCAAAGCCTTAGGACTAAAATGATAAGCGATAGCAGAACCTATATTTCAAAGCATACAGGCAAAAAAAAACCTTTGGTGATTAAAACTAATTAGAGCTAAGTATTTGCTTTTAGCAATTTAAGATGACTCATGGGATAACATTCCTGTAAGTAAAGTTCTGTTTCCCAAGGCTTAGAAACTAATATTCTATTACTACCCGTTCATAAATAATTTATGAATTTATTACTTCAAGTGGTGAAATTACTATAAATGAAGAAAGTATTCCCAGACACGTAATTTAGTTACTCTTAAAGACTATGACTAGTTAGATGAATATCTACTACATTATATAATTACTAGTATTCTTTCCCATGTCACAGCATTACCACCGCCATATGAACTTGTACAATGCTTACCATTGCAACCTTCAGGGACACAGAATCCATACTTGGCAAATGTGAAAGAGGACCCTAAGAAATAGTAGTCAAAGAAAGGTGGGAAAAAAGGTCACATCAGCATACGGAAAAAGTTAATCATTTCTACAATCAGTTCTGTACTCAATTATTATTTGGTCCTGCTACAGGATCTTAAATGTTTGGAAGTTGAATCACCATATAAATACTGAAATGCTTTAACGGTTCATTTGTACTCCACCACTCTCAAGTTAAAGACTCAGAATTCTGAGTTCTTAATATGCCTTTTCAAGTTCTTTGCTTCCTTTTTCACCATTAAATCATAAATTCCCCAAAAAGCCTTCCACAAGGTCTACGATAAGAACTGAACTGCACACTGGCCACATCTCCTTGGCGTCCCAAAATTACAGAGGAAAAACTTAGCTCTATTCATCTGTTCTGAAACCGTGCAAAGCTCAAGCCTGCTTCCCAGTAAATCTTCTGTGCTGGTGTGGCATTACAACGTGTACGTGCTGCACGACAGCACCACCTCCGCAGCCAGGCAGCCGGACAGGTACAAATGGCAACTGCTACGTTCCATTCAACAGCCTGTCCTGTTCTGTTTGAAATTGGGTTTAGAACAGGAGATCGGCTCACGAACAGGAAACCAAACTGAGTTATTGATCAGATTATTTATACACTTATTTATTCATCTTAATACATACAAATCTGTTGAGTTTGAGCACTTTATGCAAAGTTACTGGCTGAAGAAACAACATAAAGCTCTCCAGCAGAGTTCTGCTTTCTCCAGAGAACACTGTTGTTCACCTTTGCAAAAAATCACAACAGGACACAGGCACAGCTGAAGGGAGGAGGGGCTGTATTAACACCTATCACGTAACTGTGGTACACAAGAAAGGAAGAGCACGAGCTCTGAATTCCAGCTTTCAGCTCACCCTAAGAAATCTGAAGTTTTCACTTTTAGAATTTCACTGTCTTGGTGCTAGAATAGCTAGAGCAACGAATAAGGACAAAAGAAGTAAATATTTCAAATGGCTATAAAACTCATCTGCCGATTTTTCACAAAAGGAAAAAAAAGCAGTAATTTTCTAACGCGTGCAGCGTATCCCCCCCATGTATGGTGTGCAATGGCAGAAACTCAAACACTGCGTGCACAGGAGGTCCAGTATGTTCCAGGTGTCACGGAAGTGGTGTACACAGTCCGAATTTCTGGTTTAGAGCCAGTTTGACGCTGACACCTTCTCAGACACGTTAAAGTACCCATGCAGTTACTCTGAGAAGGTACAGGATGTCTGTGGTGCATGGAGCCTGTTGATGGCACACAGAGGAGCTGCACAGGAGTGCTGCACACCAAACCTGCCAGGCTTGCTGCACACACGGCACGGGGCAGATCTGGACTTACAGGGGCCAGTAGTCCTGATCCCGTGTGAAAAACCAACAGAGACTGCTGAGCTCTCGCCTTCAGAGGAAACTCCATTTGCAAAAGTATTAGTGCCAAAATTCTTCTAGTTGTCAGGTATGCAGTACCTCCTCAACGTGTACATCATTTAAGCTTACCTGTTCTGGTTTGTGCTGCTGCACAGAGTTATATATGTAACTTAGACCAGCTCTTGTCAACACGTAAGAAGCTTGCTCATTTATGAGTGTATCTAGATGAGCTTCAATCTGAAATTTTAAGCATACGGTATTTATAAAATGTGCATGAGAATATTAAATAAAACAAGAGCTGGGGTTAAAAGGTCTAGAAACACAGATAAGAAGAAAAATAATAAATACAACAAAAACAACAAACAAGGAAAAACCATGAATACATACAGCATAATTATTTCACCCATTTATGTCTTTCATATTATAAGGAGACAATAATAAAAATATTGATAATTCCTTCATGTCTGACTAACAGAACTTGTTTCTTTCGTATCTGTAAATGCAACAGCACCAGAAAGAATACCAAAGCTCTAATCCTAAAAAATGCTATATCATTTTATTTTGCCATAGTTCTTTGAAAGTATGTGATAAAAATCACTCAACTCTTATTGAAAGTACTGACAAAAGCATGTCTGTTTTGTAATAAACAAGAAACAGTCTTTCACAAGGAAAATAAAACTGAAACTAAATCATAATCAGTAATGATTTTAAATTCAATACCGATAAACATGTACTTGAAAAAAGTTAACTGAAAGAACAATAGACAACAACATTCCAGGTATCAATTTTGCTTGAATTATCTTCGTATGAAAAAAGTCATAAACGTATTTCACATTCTTAGTATAATCTTCACTTTGCACAGAAGCCTAATCAATAAATCCAACAGCACCAGCAGCAATGCTTTTTTAGTCTGAGTAGTCCTGGAAAGGTATTTGGAGACATATCCACTATTGCTTCACTTTAACAGGTAACTACCCCACGTTTCATTTATTTTTCTTCCAATTCTAAAGAAAAGCAAAAATTTATAATATAATCAAGCTAGGAAAATGTACGACTTCCATATCTGATATTTTAAGAGTTCACCTTTTTACTTCCTAAAATCGTTTAGAAAAACGCACTTTTCCTTTTAAATCAGGAGGGAAATCTTAGTATTTCAATTTGGAGATTTTAACTGTCTTAGAGAGTTCTTTTTTCCTATGAAAAATGTTTCTCTTATTAAATATGCCATTCTAACTCCACTTTAATAACCTACTTATGTGTAATCTTAAAGATATTTTTTCAGTCTGTTCCTGTATTTGTGAAATGCTCGAAGAAAGTAAATGGTATTAAATGCATAACCTTCCGTTCCGCTTATTTGAAGAATAAATCAATTGCAATATATGCTGTGAAAAAGAAACTCTGATAATGGAAATTAGAAATGCCCCAGACAGTTTGATGGGGTTGTCTGTTTGTTTGTTTCTGAGCTAAAAGGTGCTAGAAATTCTAATTAGGAGTAGAAAGCAAGAAATGGCTCACAGCCAATCTTTGCTGATGCCTTCAAATAAAAAGTTGTGACTTTTTTCCAAGCCCCCCAGCTCCAAAAGCTCTCCTGAGATATATTGCAGAGATATTCATGGAGCAAATCTATTGGGCAGTGCCTATGTTTTCCCAAGACAATGGTTTCTAAATTATGTTTCCACGTCAAAATGGCACCACATATGAACTACTATCCTGGCACATTACGTAAAACCAAACAAATGAGAAAAGAAAGGCAGAAAGAAGGATCGAAGTAGGAACTTCAGCTGTGCTATGCTCCAGTATAAACTAGGTGACCACCTAGTAGTAACTATATGATCGAGTATCGTCAGATATTTGACTGAGCTTCCAACTTCCATTTGCCTCCTCTCACACAGTTTGCAGATAAGTATTAGAATGATTAGAATAATGAAAATGTTCAGTGATGTGGTTTGTCTGCAACTAAACCAAACCAAACCAAAACGTTCTAATAATTTTTTTGTCTGTTTAAAATAAAAGATGCTGTTTACCATAAACTCTGATACCTGCAATTTGCTTAGGGTGTCTGATAAGAACCCCTCTTATTCCATTTCCCTGATTTAGAGTTGACCCAAAGGCAACATTATAGAAGATAAATAAGTTCACGTCACAACTTACAGTCTCCAAAAAATCAGTAAGTTGTTCGTTTTCCTTTGGGGCTGTTAAAGCTTACCTGAAACTGTAGCATTTCTAAACGTTTGTCAGTGAATTCAAAGAGAGCCAAAGTAGTCTTCATCATATAAAGCGAATTTACCATGAAGGTTGCCATATCAGCTGTGCCCAAATTACTAGCAGACATAGTACACATCTGTAACAATGGATCTAGCACACAAGACAGAACCTAAAATAGAAAACACACAGAAAAGAGGGAGGGGAGGGAGGAAATCATGTCACACAAAGTTTCTAAGATCATTCTGTCTCTACCACATATTTATTCCCCAAAGCAGAATAAAGAGAAATGAGAGTTTCCAACTGTGAAAGCAGTTTTCTACTGGATTTGTCAGCAGGTGATCAGCTACCATAGTGATGGGAAAAGTATAAAAACCTGAGAAGAACAGATTTGAACCTAGCAGGAGGAAGAGTAACCCAGATTAGATAGCTGGTAATTGCTCAATCTTGAGGGTGTCTTTACTTAATGGAGTAGTAATTGGATAACAGAATTTAGACACCGTGTTAAGAGTAGCACTCCATACTGTACTGTAATTATCCATTTGGTTAGTCACCATCTTACTCAGATTACAAACTCGGGTTTGGTAGAAAGCTCCAAAATGGGACCAGACAAAAAAGATTAATGTTTCACCCATCTTTTGTGTACTGAGACTAATTTACACGTACTATTTTTTTTCCCACCTCTTGAGAGCACTCCAACGTTCTCATACCTGCACAAAGTCAGCCTGACGGGCATCCAGGGGAACAACAGATGAGTCGTGAGATGCCAGAACCTCCCGCAGCAAGTTCAGTGTCTGATTTAGTGCAGAGCTTGGGCCAAGATCAGGAGGTGGGAGTTCAACCTGAAGAATGAGATTATCTGTTTGTGTTTTTTTTTTTTTCGTTTCATTTACAGCAAACACCATTCAATCTGTCTGCACAAACGCAACCAGCTAATAATAAAATTACATGTAGCCATGCAGAGAAGAACTTTAATTTGACATCTAGCCTGTTTCAGATAATAACTGCCTACAACTTTCAACATAACCATCCTATTCAGTGACAAACAACTAAAACTGAATTTCTCCTTTCACTCAGAGTATGCGTACTTTATCATCTAGAGACACCCAAACACTACTGGTTTTGGTAGTAAAAAAATACATTTGCTAGATTAGGTGCCAAAGAATAGCCACACTCTTTGCACCACCGAGTTCACTTTGAGCAGGACCTCATGTAAACATTTCAGAATCTAGTGCAAGCGGGAGCCTAGGACATTAGGGCCATACTGCAACAGTTGAATTAAGTCATCTTCTTGACAAGGCTACACAGCCCCTATCATGCTCAGTAGGAGAGCTGCAGCCACAGGTCCAAGAGTCTTAAGCCCCAGCAAGTTTTAACCTTAAATTATCATTATACAAATGAACTGTGTACAAGCTAACTCAGGTACACCTACATAAACTGCAGTGATAGTGCAAGAGCTGGAACGCAGGCGCATCTCAAAGGTAAGAGGCAGGAATCGCAGATTAAAAAAAAAAAAAGAAAAAAACAACCAACCAACCAAAAACCAACAAACCCCACTTTCAGAGTCAAATTATGAAAAGTTGGAGCACCTGAAAGGGACTGAAATTCTATGCTATTTTTAACACAGGCTCACGCACTTTAGCCCTTCTTTGTAACAAGCTAATACCCTCAAATGCTTCGTGAAGTGTTCGTATAACATAAAACCTAGCACGAATCTTTCTCCCAAGCCACATCCCTCCGGACCCACTCCAAATGCACTTGCATCTTCCCGTTTTCTTCTCTTTTTCACCGGCTGCCTCCAACGGGCTTCCTGCTGCCTCCAGACCCTCACTGGGGGCAGCCCGCGCTGCCGGCCTCGGTCCCTGCCCACAACCATCTCCCGCCTGCCCCTCTCCTGCCCCCCAAGTGCAAACCCAGACCTGGCTGGGTCACGCGGGCGTAAGGAGACCCCCGGCAATACAGAACAAGCTTCCAGGCCCAGTCTCCTTCCGGAAGGGTGCAAGGAGCTAAACGTGGGCTGGAGCTGGCCCGTGCGCCCCACGGTGCTCGGGCACAGCCGAGGAAGGGCAGCGCGCTGCTGCAGGGCCAGAGTCCAGCTCCGCGAGAAAAGGCGGCCGCGCTGGAGGGACCCCCACGCCACGGGCAACGCGCTCCCCAGTATCTTCCCAGATGAAAAGCACCGATTCTCAGCGCAATAACGTGCACGTCTGAGTCAAAGGGGCAGCAGCCGGCGGCCAGAGCGAGCCCGCAGGGCACAGCGGGCGCTTCCCCAGCCTCCTGGAAACGCACCCAGGGCCGAGGGGCGCGCCGCCCGCCCTGCAGACAGGCCCAGCTTCCACCCTGCGTGTGCCCGGGAACGCCCGGGCCACCGCACACGTCCCCGCACCGTCACCGAGGCAGATCAAGCAATTCTGCCATCCCACCAAATACAAAGCGTTCCTCTCCTCTCGCTTTCCAAGAGAGAGCGTACTGAATCCAAGGGACCAATGGAAAACGAAATCCAACAGGCTCAGAGAGCAGTTGTTGTTCAGCCTTAGCAGTCTTGAAAGCATAAAACAAATATTCTAGCAACGAAGTAACAGTAATTCAGGAGGTGGCCTTTATTTAGTGCCGACTAGTAGTAAAGTTTACTGAAATTTACAGCACTGAGTGACTTTCTTCTTGTTTCTTCTTGTTATTATTAGGGGTATTGATTGTGCCCTGCACACACTGTTCTCAGACCTGAACTGGACCGTGTTCAGGGATATTTTGGCATTAATTTGAGACTAGGGTTTGATGGGGTTTTCACTCCCAACGCACACATAGATCATGGCAATGATAATTTCAGGCTTCTTTGCTCTGAATTTTTGTCTCCTGAAGCAGCTGATGGTCAGGAGTTTCTAAATTAGCTCCATCTGTCATTTAATCTGTTCTCTTAAAGTCTACTGGCTTCTAGATGGGAGCAAGGAACAACATTATGGAAGAAAACACTGCGAGGAGAAAAGGTTTAGATTGTTATATTCTCCTGGAGTTAGCTTGAAATTCCTGACTACTGCAACAGAAGCAGAATTATCAGTAAGTGGAAGGAAAATTAAAGCAGTGCTATATTCATTTTGAAAATTCTAACCTTTTGCACATGGATGTAGATTGGGGTTTTTTTCAGAATTAAAAAGAAAAATTTTAAACCAGACATATCTAATTTATTGAGGAACGTACCAACTTCAATTCGTGAGAGCTAAATTGCTATTCTAATAAAGAAAATTGATGCCCAAATGTTTTACGTGCACTGAAATATTATTATAATCGATCCTATTTCCAGAAAAGTAGATTTGAAATGCATGCTGAATTCTACTTTTGAAGTACTTGCTTCAGATGCAAGCCAGACAGGAGCTAACTGAAAAACTATCAGAGAAGTTCTGCAGCAGCTAGTTCAACAGCATTAAAACATTCTCTAACATGGTATTTAGTGTCTCATCAGTTATAACCAGCATTTCAGTCATTCAGAAACGAGGCCAACCAGCTGTTCAGCCTTTCAAAGAAAACAAGAAGAAAATCCCAAATTTTTAAAATCCAAAATACAAAACTGAAATTAATTCTCCTAAAATTAAAATGGACACTAAAAGTTGTCCATAAGATTTAGTATAAAGGGTAGTGTCTTCATTTAAATTCTGCATATCAATCAGCAGGGAATAACAACTAAGCCAGTAATCTTCCACCAAATACACAATCCAGAGCAGGCTGCTCTGTCTGTGAGAGCAAGTAGCTCAAAGGATGTCTTGAAGGATCTAAGAAACAGCAAAGGAAAATACAGGAAAAAGAGAGGGGAGTATCAACAATCAAGAGGGTGCACGTATGTTAACTGTTTCCCTTTCTCACAAAGAAAGTTAAACAGAAAAAAAAAAAAAATGTGCAATTTTCATTCCTATTAAATACAGTTAATTCTATTAAGGACTGGAGCAGATATTAAGCAGAGCAACTTGGTTAGAAGTTCATACGTGCACCTGCAAATACTGAAAATACTGTATAGGCAAGCAATCAAAACTGTTTATATCCTATCCTACTTGAACATTAGGAAGCTCCCAGTGCAGAATGACATGGACATACTGGAGCGAGCCGAGCACAGGGCCGCGAAGCTCACGGAGGGCCTGGAGCATCTCCTGTACAAGGCGAGGCTGTGTTCAGCCCGGAGCAGAGAAGGCTCTTCTCAGAAGAGGCAGGCTGTTACCCGTGTGTGTAAGCACCTCGCGGGAGGGGTACGGAAGAGGGGCACAGGCTGTTCTCAGCGGTGTCCAGTGGCAGGTCAGGAGGTAAGGGGCACAGACTGAAACGCAGGAAAACAGTATTTTCACGGCGAGGTTGGCCAAACACCGGAGACAGTTGCACAGTGGGGCTGTGGAGTCTCCATCCCTGGAGACATTCAAAACTCAACTGGAACCAGTCCTAGGCAGCCTGCTGTACCTGGCACTGCTTGAGCAAGACGGGTGGACTAGGTGATCTCCAGAGGTTCCAGCTGCCCTCATCCATTCTGCAATTCTGTGACGCTAGTATTAAATAAAGCACGGAACTCCCCAGAGAAAGCACTGCTCGGAGTGGCAAACAAAAGGTTGGTGGCTTTCTGAAGGGCCTAATCAGCTTGTAATAGTCTTGTTGGAAGCCCCACTGGCAGAGGGTGAAGATAAAGCACTATAGATGTGGAACCTTGCAAAAAGGTATCTGGATATGTCAGTGTGTCAGTCACAACTTGTTAGTGTCAACTACAGAAGTTCGTTTTACAAATTGAAACGATTTTCACCACAGTTAAACGACAGCAGTCTAAAACCTGAATGTACATCTTCTTCCAGAGAAGCTGTCCTAAGCTTTTTAGAGCCCTATTAGGATCCTGCAGAGATCACCAGGGGCTCCACAGCAGAATGCCTAGTGGTATGCTTTTCTTTTCAGTTGTCGAGTTGGTCTTGAAAGAAAAGACAACAGAAAAATTCTGGCTTTGTTTTCTTCACATGGATCCCTTCAGACCACAACAGCATGCAGAGCACAGTATCAACCAGTCTCATTTCATCTGTCCCATATCTGGTTTCCCAGAAACCTAATAGGTTTCATTCTGACAAGAACCAATTATGAGGGAGAAGTTTACAGTTATTCCCATGCAATGTTTTAATCCATTTCCCACTGACAAACTTAACAGATAATGCGATCATAACATTTAACTTGCATACATCTACTCTAAGAACGGAATTAAGGAAAAACAATCCCAAAGCTTGATTTGGGGTACTCTACAAATAGTCTTCTAACAGCTCAGACAGCAGATGACACATTAGTTTGGCATAATCTCTCTTTAGTACCTTTATGATAACTCTCATTCCATTTAATTCCAAGTTTGTAATTATTATTTCCTTTAATAATTGTTCTGGAGTACTACTGAAGCCAGAGTAAGGACAGCTGCACCTGAGAATTCCCACTCGCTAAATGTATTAGCTGATCCAATAAAACACACTGGCATAGGTTGGTCTAACAGGCTTGTTAAAATGCTGCACCAGCTGACTCATGACTTTAAATGACAATTCTCTCAATATGAGAGAACTGAAAAGAGTCCATCCACTCCAGTGCATTAGGTGCTTTGAACTCTGCTTTCAGTTTCATTGGAACAGGCTCTGTTGTTCTGAGAATTATTTTAATTTACTGTTTTCTCCTGAATTTACCATCTGTAAAATGGTACTCTGTACCAGGCTGCTCTTAGATCCAGACAGTAACACAAGCAGAACCCCAAATCCCTAAACATTTGATTTATTTGCACAGGGTCAAAGGAAACATGAAAGGATACATAAGGGCTGAACCTACAGTTCTCAAATGTTTTACTAGTGTGGCTGCTGGACCCATGGCTGGGTCCAAGAAAGCTAAAAGGAACAAATCCAAACATGATTTTTCAGCGCAGGGACACTTAACACTAGTCAAAAAACACTCTGGTTGAACAGATAACCAAACCAAACCAGTTGTTAACAGAGCTAGAAGGCACTGGCAAGACTGCCCAACACTGCCTCTGAAGGGCAGGAGCCCATACACCACCACGAAGGAGAGATGCCTGCAGCAGAAGCTGGTGCACTGAACCTGCAGCGACACGGGAGAAGGGTGGTGAGGCACAGCTTCTCCAGGATGTCAGCGCTGAGCTCTGCGACGACCTGAGAATCTCAGAGCTGGGAGCAGCATTTTAAACCTGAACACGAGTGGCTCTGCAATGACTCTGCTACCAAGTTTCACGTCCGGTTTCAAGCAGTATCAGAGCCAGATTCCCTTGTGTGTTGCCTTTCTTTGATAACAACGAACTTACTTCCAGGCAGCATGCTCAATATTTCTGTTACATAGATTTCAGATGGTAAAGAGCTACCCGAGCAAGGTGAATGAACATCACAAAAAGCGTTTCTCAGACTGAAGAGATTAAAGCGGTGACAGCTGCTGACTCCCTCATTTTCAGATTACAACCAGGGTGCTTGAGATTTTCTGATGCAAGCCACTAAGCACCCTGAAGTAACCAGCGATGTCCCTGTATCGTTTACACTGATGGCTTGACAACCAGGAGAAAGAATCCTGATCTAAGACTGCCTTTAAGTTTCCATACAGCTCGGTGCTTGTGACACTCTTTATGTAATGTGGGACTTTTCTCAAAAACAGATGTAAAAGACAAAGTTATTGTTTTGTCCTAGAAAGTCTGAGTTTCCCACTGCACTTCAGAAACTACATTCCAAGCACTTTGAAGGCAATGCTCAACTCAGCATAATCAATAACCCAGGGAATTAAATTGCCTGTGGTCATGAGGACATCAGAGTCAAACTGCCATCCTGTCATTCCTCCGCATCCAAAGGAAGGGATCTTGAGGAGTCAGCATATTTAATGAAACATGCTTTGTCTAAAAAAGTTCCCAACTAGTTATACTTAAGAGAAAGATTTGCTTAAATACGACTCTGGTCTATTGACTACTAAATAGACTGCAGGTATTAAAAAAGCGTAACACAGCAAGCCACAGTAACACATCAGTGTTTCCAGAAAACTCTCCCCACACTATACAGCACAAGAGAATTTGCCCAGGGATAAAGAGACTCCTGTCAAGTTACAAATTCACTGGTAATTATGACTAAGTCTTCTGGAATTTTGTAGCTACAAACAGCAATTAAGTAAAACCCTTAAATTCTCTTTAAATGAAATAACAATTGTAGAACTGATTTCCATTCCGAATTTCCTGCTTACGATTTTCAGTTTATCAGAAACAACTGAGGATACTGAGGGAGCACTATCACTAAAATGGCCTAACACACACCACTTTCTAACGACCTAAAAGAGGCACTTAAGTTTATAGAAATAAAAATATTTCTTATTTAAGAACATCCTATTTGTATTTTAATCTATTTCCAAAGTTATTTAAATTGCCTTAGGAATCATATCTTAATCAAAGCAATGGACAGCTGATATTCTTTGAAGCAGGCTTATCAATGACTTCAGATGCAAAATATAGGCATAAACAAGGAACCATGATTTCCACATGGTCCAAGTGGAAAGTAATTTACTGATTTCACAAGTGAGTTACTCTCTTTGTGTATAACAGGAGCAGCAACGAAGCCTCTGCAATTGCCTATGTTAGCACAAAGGGTCTATTTTCCAGTGCTTTAATCTTCTCTGAAAAGAAAAAAAATTCTCGAAGCAGTTGCAGTGCATACATACTTAGCAAAAAGCTGGTAAAAAGGTTAGAATGTGAAGAGAAACCTACTAATACATATACACAATTTTGGTCTGAACACACATTAATAAAAAGGATGATAAAAAAGCAACCTCGAGATTGCTCAAAATGTAAAGGCATCGTGATATTAATTCCTAAATTAATGAAGACATGAAAAGGCATAAAAGCTGGTTATCTGTATATTAACACACAATAAACTAAGTAACAGGAGAATTAAATTTATGATAAAACAGGGTCTTTATCTAATGGGAACTAATGTTTCTCTGAGTATAATTCAGCCTATTAATTTTGTATTTTCTGTGAAGTAAAACTAATTTCAGTCATGAGTAGATAAGACATCATTTTATCAATTCAGTAGTCCACTAACAAAGGGAAATAATAAGGTGCTTCAAAGGACTGTCTAAAACTCTCAGTCACAAGAACTACCCATCAGTACAGTAAGACTCCCTCTCGCCCACAGAGTTACCTCGTTGTTAACTCCTGAGGCACAGAGATTAACAAATAATGGTGGATGCCTTTCATACTCATATATCTAATCCTCTTCCGAGTCTCTTTTAAGCTTCTGACCTCAATTACATCCCAAGGAAAGAACCTCCTAGGGCACACATGCAATGTAAAATTTTCAGTGTTTCAGATTTAACTTGTAAATGTGTTTATGAGAAAGAGCAGCACTATAATCCTCTTACATTGTACAGTGTCCTCGGTATGCCGTTCATTATTTGGTGCCACGGAACGTGGCAGTGCAATCATCACCTTCCTTCAACATCAGCAAAACCAAACCTGACTCCTTTGTAAAACAATGGCAGCATCTAGAGCGAGCTACATCCAGGCTGGGGGCTGAGGGAAGGGGAACTAAGAGGGCAAAGAGGATTGCACAGCCCTCGCGCAGGGAGAACACAAAGAACCCACGCTATGAACTGGGGGATCACAACTACTTCCTCACTCCTCCTGCTGCCGAATTCTACTTGTCTCCAGACTGAAAACAGCTTTATCACCCAAAACAAAAGTACAAAGATTTTGAGTTACGTGAGTAGAAAAATTATGCTGGATCCTGTTTGAGTACCGATGTAAGACCCAGCAGGATAAATAAAACGGAGATGAATACATAACCACCTTACGGCTTCAAGCCGAGAAAACTTCTTTCCTTAAGCACTTCTTTGTTTGCACGGTCTCTGTAAGGAAAGAGCAGCTATATATTTTTGCTAAGGTCCATCACTGATTTCCCTTCATAAAAGGAAAAAGTACAGATATTTTCTGTTAGCTTACATATTAAGAAATAAAACTTTCTGAGGAATTCATATGCAGCTAGCGTATGACCATAGCGAGCCATAAGCTTTATTTATTTTGGGGGGGGGGGGGGGGGGGTAAATTCATACTGTTCCTGTCCACCGTACATTTTACAAACTCAAGCTTTAACTGACTCTTGAAGAAGCATAAGTGGCAGAGAAACCACCATTGCTGACACTGCCTTCAAATGGAAATACCCCGTGACAACAAACAACGTACTAAGTGGATTTCAGGAGTCTGGACTGCAAGTGGCAGCAACGAAGGAGTTGCCTGTGAACAAATGAGACCACGGAAATGGGTCACTGGGATATATGGGAGGGAAGACGAGGAACAACTGCTCCTTTGAGAATGTCATTGCTCAGCCCTTGCAGGAGGACAGGAAATGGGATCAGACGCGAGCTGTGCAGAGTGAGAAAACTACTCTGAGACCACAGAACGACACTGACCAAACTCAGAAAATACCACTGAACGGTTGGTAAGCTACAAGGCTTTGCACAAAGAACAGTTTCTGTAAATCTATGTAATTTTTTTGCATTTTTCTGGTAGGTTAAATGCAAGCAGTTTAGAAATACACTTACGAAAGTGTTTTCCACTTTCAAACTTTTGAACTGGAAAAAACAGTAATGCAAGGGCTTTGTTGAACTGTGGGGTTGTGCAGTAACTAGGAATGAAGGCAGGCATTTATTCCTGGTTTTAGAGCCTAGTCAACTCTTCACATCTTAGACAGGGATGGTGGATGAAGATCAGACCCCTAGGAAATGGAAAGGGACAGGCAGCCTAACAATTTTCTTTGACTTTGCTTAGATTTTAGAAAGGTGAGATTTAATGGGCAGATCCACAAACAACAACATGATACAATTACAACAGGGAGAAATTTAAAAAAAAAAAAAAAAATTGTACTAGTTACTGAACAATGGGAAGTTCACCGAAACACAAGTCAAAGCAATCAACAGGAAAGGAAAAGATACCAGGAAAGGGATGCTGGCTTAGGTACAGTCGTTTGGTATAACAAATATATATTCTGCTTTTAACAGCAGCAATGCTGATGTGGTAAAACTCTTTTATAGAAGACAGAAAAACCCAAGTTTTGTTTTTACTCAGTTTACCATCTTGAAATACACTTCGTAGCTTCAAGAAATGAATTATGGCACACGAGTAATTAATCATAGATCTGATGATGTATTAATACAAATTATCTAGCTCAGTCAACTGAATTTGCTATATTGCACTCAGGGAAATGTCTGGATTTTTCTGCTTCTCACAGATTTTTAAAATATGTAAACTGCTCTATAAACAAATACTGTTAACAGCAGCATTTTAGCCATATTTCACAAAAATAAAATTATTAAGAGAATTAGAACATTGACAGGAAGTTTCAAACGTAGTTCAATAGCTAAAATATAGAAACTACAAAACTCCAGTTGTAAGAAAAGTTGATATATAAAAAGAACTATTAATCTAATAATCTTACGAGGCAAAAGGAAAATGAAAGTGTGTTTTGAAATATGAAAGCTGTATGATTTTGAAACAAACCTTGTCCATTAGTTTGCTTGCATGAAGACTCAGGCTATTAAAGAATATCTTCTTGCTCAATAAATGCATTTCTTCAATCGTTGTCAACAGTGTGGCTGCACTGTTTCCTACAATCCCACTGAAAACAAAATTAAGATTAATTAAATAATCTGAAGGGGGGGAGCAGAACATGACAGGGTCAGACACTTCAGACAGCATTTAAAATACAATTTTTTTCAAAGTTGAAAATTTACAACCAATAATCACAGAGGACAGTTCTCCATATCAGCCAACAGATTCAGTCGTCAGATGAGTGAGAAAACAAGCACTGTCTGCTATGTCACTAAGCAGATACTAAGTACAGGCTATCTAAAGCTTTGCACAAACTTTTTAGCAGAATTCTCAAATTTTCTGGATTTTCGTTCTGTTCTTCTGTAAACCTACTTCTTGTAGAAAACAAATTACATAAACAAAAAAGGTAGATAACTGTTCTGTCATACTGTCTTTCAGGGACAGTATCACCTCTCTTCTTTCTTCATTGCCATGTTAGGCACCTCCAAAAATACGAGAAGTCACGCCTTGCTCTTCAAAGTGTCAGGCTATTACACTCAGCAGCAACACCACCACAATAAACCTTAAATGGCACTACATGACTATGCTCCTCTCACAGATAGGTCTTCTGTCTAAAGTAAAAGCACTTTTAATCTATAAGAATGGCAGTAAAAATTCATTGCCTCATACTAGGACTAATTTAAAATTGTACCTTGATTTTCAGATTATGATCCTATTGAATTTAATAGATCATTTCTCAAACTGCATTTTCCCTTCGTTAGTCAGGTGCACTTCCTCTATACAGACTAAATTATTCAGCTGACAGAAGGTACTTCAACGGTCTTTAAACAATGTATTGTTAGCAAGACAGAAAGCAACAGATGAGACTGCCTAAGACCTTCCATTTTAACATCACATTTTCAATTGCACTAAGCTTTATAACCCCTGGGAAACACAAGCTTTGGAGACAGAAAAATAACAGCAAAAACCTTTAGCTTTTTTTGACAATAAAATTAGGACTAGGTCTTCTACGTGTTCTACCACAGATCTGTAGTGCCACCAGAACTGAGGATTTTAAATGCAGTGGGATATGCCTGAGAACCACTTATCCCAGTCTGCCCAACATCTAAGTGCCTTTTCAGACTGAAAAGTAGTAGCTCAGGTAGTACGATTAGTGATCCAAATTCTCAGCAGTTCAGTCCAGGGTTGTGAAGGAAGATTTTTTTTCTGCTATTGCTGTTTCTAACCATTACGAGCTACTTCAAAGGCCACAATGTATAAAACGAGTGGCTCTGACTTTTCTCCACTTCCTGTGTTCCTAACGGCCTCTGGAAGGTTGGAAGATGACTGGTGCACCTTCAGCAGGGAGGTACGGAATGAGGCAAACATCTTCCCAAAGGAAAAATGCAAGTGCATAATTAGAAGAAATGGTATCAAAACATAGCTGTTTAAAGAAAGTTGGATTTCTAGAGAGAATTTAATTTTAGCATTTTCTCAATGAGGACTTGACTTTATTTTCTTAAATGTTTTGTGTAGGTTTTTTATATACTATTTGTGTCTACACAGAACAATAAACAGTTTCTGTTGCAAATTGATGCTGTATTCCAAGGCAGGTTCAGTACGAACTGAGGAATGACAACAGATAAATGGCATCCACTTGATATTGTGCACATTTCTCCTTGGTTCCACAGTACAGATTATAAACTGAGCCACGAAAATACTTCTTTTACTGTATTAATCCTTATACATACAATTAAAATAAAGACATCTTTAACACGCTTTGTAATTTTGCATACCTGATTGTATGGTGGTAGAACTTCAGAAGATTAGATATCTTGTACAGTAAAACTGCTCCTGGCTCAGCTACAATCACCTGCTCAATTCTAACCTGCAGAATAAAGAACTATAATTATCTTTCAGGTTACACATTTTAAAAGGCAGCCTCTATGATTTCATATTCAATATATGTCTGATTTCTGAAGAATAAATTTAACCAGAAATAAATTTTAAAAGAGAATGTCCAGTTATCTGTAACATTCTGCTTGAACCAAAATGCTTCTTGGTTATCAAACCTCTGGGTGGAAAACAAGCAGGTATATGTATTCTTAATCCTGTTTCCCTATAGATTTTTGTTGCAACTTGTTATTGAAAAGTTCAGAATAATGAGATCACTTGATGGATTAATACCAGCACATACTGGAATTCTCCCCAGCACTCAGTAGCAAGAACAGCTGGAAAATCCTTAAACTACCGCAGCTGATCACTAGCATCACGCAGCAACTCAGGGCGTGCCAAGCATTAAGCGTTTTGCCCAAAAGACAAAATTTCACCTGGATTAATGTCTTCACTTAAGGAGCAGATCACACTCCTCCTACCAGTAGTTAATTAACTGTATTTAGGACTAACAACCAGCTGTGCTGGCTGCTGATCTCGGCCAGGCTGCGCAGCCCGGAGGAGTGCCACTGCCCTCGCAGCCGGCCAGCCGCGCCGCCGTCTCACCTCCCCGCGCTGCCCGGCGGCCGCCCCGGGGCCAGCCCCTGCCCGCTGTCTGTCCCGGCAGGACAGACAGCCGTTCGCCCGGGGGCCGTTCCCCCACGGCCCTGGCCGGGAGGGCTGCGCACACTTCACCCGCCGCCACCCGCTCTGCCCGGCTCCCTGCCTGCTGCTCCGCCGGAGGCGATGTGCCGCCGCGCCTTCTCCTCGCCAGAGGCAGCTGCCCCGACAATTAACCAAGGTAACGCTCCCCTGGTCCCCTCCCTCTGCCCGTGAATCACAGATCCAAAACAAAGAACATTTTCTGACTCTCATTCGCAATGCCCAACGTACAAAGTTCATTTCAACACCCAGTACATACGTATGCACTGGAGAGCAAAGTTATATATGTAAATACCTGCCTCCAAGGTTGCATAAAATGTCATTTGGGCACGGATACCGCGTATAGGCTAGGTGTACAGCAAAAAACAGTAAGAAAGGCAGGGTACAAACAGGAAAAGCAAAATATTGACAAAACAATAAAAAAACAGCGATAACTATAACAATAAAGGAAAGAATTAAGAAAAAGACAGAGTAGGCAGGAGGGGAAAAAGAAAAAAAAAAAAAAAAGAGATCAGAAGTCTTAACGGCACAGGAGAACCAAACTTTGCAAGTGACTCGCTCTAACCTGCTCAGAGAAGTCCTGGTTTTTTAATCCCACATGTCCCGTAGTCAGCTGGCCATAAAAGAAAAACCCCTCTCTGAAGTCTACATAAGGCATCAAAACCATTCTGTTAGTCCTGACCTCATCCGAAGCGCTAGGCAGAAGATGAGCACCTTCATTTAAATGCTTGTTAAGGTCCTACTTCCATCTGAAACAAGACGCCTGTGCTAAGATCTACCACTAGTGAGCACTCAAGATTCAGGTGGATGCCTACAACTCAACCCAACTATCAGTAAGAAACGTGAAAGATGCATACTGTGTAGACACATAATCCCTCTTCAGAAGTAAGAAGCTGTATCATATTGTACATTCACATGGAAAGGCATAAACCGGTAAGAAAATGCTACATAATTCTGTAAGTCTTTAGAAGTGCCCGTGGAAGTTCTATGAGTAGGCTCTTATCAAGTTATTTTATACTTCAGCATCAAATCAAAGTGACAGGTTTGTAAACATCAGCACAAACCCACTAGAAAAGCAGTATACTGTGGTGCCATACAACTACAACCAAGAGTCTTTTCCCCCAAATTAATGCAGTTATTTTTCTTATTGTGGACAATCTTCAGAAAGAACAATGGATTGTAGAAAAGACTCCTCCAAACTGAGTCTATTTTTGTGTTCCTCTCAACGTGATGGCTTGTAATTATCTAACTGCATTGTATGAAGGCTTTTCTGCTTGGGGGTTTTGTTTAGTTTTTTTTTCCCTGCTTTTTTTTTTTTTTGCTATGGAAGATTTCCCCAGGGGAAACAATAAGTACTGCATATTTTACATTGGGAAGTCTAGACTGGCAGTGAATTAGCATAAGTTGTATTCTATTATAACACAGAATACAATGGGAAGTCTTTAATTGTTCTTTTAGTGGTTTTTTTTTTTTTGTTTTTCATTTTTACTAGCACAGTAACTAACTACTGACAGTATTTCAGGGGATGTTTCTACAGATAGCAGAAGCACACAGGTGTAAAGAGTTGGGCAATCAAAACGGAAGGTATTCTGTACCAAACTGTACAAATCACAAGTATTCCAATCTAGACCAAAACTCCCTCTGACTTACCCAGGGGTTTGATTCTATCCCTAATTATTAGTTGGCACGCACAAAACCACTGAACTCAAGCCAGCATGCAGTATTAACAGAGCTAAAGCATGCAAGAAGAACACCGAAAGCTTGGGAAGTATCTTCCAAAAAACCAGCTGTGATAATAGTTTGTTTGTCTCGCACGACAGGTGTTCTTCAAGTGGTCAAAGACTAAAGGCTGTGAAGGATGATGGTAATTACAGGGCAACAGGCACAAACTGAAACACGGGAGGTTCCCCTGAACATCACTTTTTCACAGTGAGGGTGACCAAGCACTGGCGTAAGTGCCCAGAGGGGCTGTGGAGCCTCCGTCCCTGGAGCTGCTCACGAGGGCTCAGGGCAGGGCCCGGGACAAGGGGCTCCGGGTGGCCCTGCCTGAGGAGCAGGGGGGCTGGCCTCCCCAGAGCTCCCGGCCAACCCCAACCCTGCCGAGGTTCTCTCACATGCTAAATGGCACCTTAGTTTTACTTCTTCGGACCAGGCATCCTTCGTATCAGGAACTGACGGGCAGTATTCAGAACCCACCCGTTAACGTCTGGGACTAGGTATGTGCCAACTGGACACAGCTGTTACAGCTACAGCACCCTGAGAGAATTCTACTGTAACAGTATTTAGTACAGTAGATTTTACTTTAAAAACACTTGGATTTATACACTGCAGAGTCAGGCAATTGTTGATATCAGCTTCATCACCCTGATTATTTTATTTTGTGCTTATGTGAAGCGCACCCAATAAATAAGACAGTCCATCATCTGATGGAACGTTATAAATAATTTCTATCAAATGGGTCCCCTAAAACGGCTAAGGCTGTAGCTTGGAAAAAAAGACAACTGTGGAGGGATGCAACAGAAACACAGAAAGTCACAGCAGCATAAAGATGGTAAGGAGGAAACAATTTTTCACGGTCTCTTTCAATACAAGAGCTGGTATTATTAAACAAAACAAAAGGAGTTGGCTTCTCACACAGCATACAGTTAAACTGTGCACTTCCCTCCTGCAGGATATGTTGTGAATACCAACATTTTGTATCAACTTGACATATGCATGCAAGAAAAAATCTACTGAGGTCTATTAAATACAAAGACAGTAGTTACAGCTCAGTGAGTCCTTAGTACATCCACAAACAGGCGAAGAAACTATTCTGCAGAAGTATGATGACACAGCTACAATATAACCTGCACATTCTTCCCTAAATAAATGCTGACGGTCACTATGAAAGACAGGGTAGTAAATTAAAATGGTTTTCAATTTGACCAACTATTGCCATTCCTATATACTTACCCCAAAGCTAAATTTTTATACATAAGCGCTCCTGAACTTAGGAAAAGTAAACCAAAATCAAGACACAGATTTAGTATCCTAGTACGTCTCATTCTGTGACTATTTAAAACCAGGTATCTATGAACTACAAAATCTTTAATTTTGTAGGGTTTTATGATTCTCGAAGTTGAGAATCTACCTCTTTAACAAAGGGCAATGAAAATACATTGTAGAGATGGGGACACGGCTTCTGGAAAAACATGACAGAACTATTTTTATATTTAGAATGCTAAGGAAAACAAAATACTTCACCTTCAGAGGCCTGCAGACACCTTCTGTGATGTGCCCAACTACTTCTTGAATATTTTCTTCCACACCTACAGTTAATGCAAACACATGCTATGATTATGCAAATGCAATGTCTTCTCTTCAAGACTGTAAAACAAATAAACAAAGGTAGGAGCTACTCCTCCATAAAAAGCTCTATGAACTGCATGTTCTTTTCTACACAAGACTAGTTTACACCTCCACTGAACTTCAAATCTAGCCTTTAAGAAATAGCTGCATGACAAAGCAGAGTCCCGGAGAGTCAGTACCTTAGGCTGTGCAATTGCTTCCCAGCACCACACAGGGCCTGGGGATTTGAGGGAGAAGGAACAAGGGGAAGAATAAGTGATCTAGCAAGAAACTGTCACAGTAAGGCTCAGTACCAGCACTTCATGAAATTAAACAGGAGCGGGAAAAAAAAAAAAAAAAAAAAAAAGGCCAGTGAGATGCTCAAGGAGCACCAGTACATACCATTTTGAAAGGCCTGAACCATAAATACACAGGGCTCGATGCTGGCGGGCTCGCGGCATCGTTACAAATGAAATCACATCTGTACCTCCACACTGCTGCGTGCTGCAGCATCAGCAAGCGCTTCCTCCCCAGCAGCAATTGAAACTCATCTTTCACAAAACTATATACAAAAGAGAGTATTTGCCCTATCTTATCATGGAACACAAATGAATTGTTGCATGGCAACCAGTACTGTCATAAATCAATCAAACTGAAAGCAACAGATCTTCAAGCTCTCACTTCAGTAACAACTCAGAATAGATTTATGGAGAAAGCAATACTTTAATTCTAATTTAAAACTTGTCAACAGGAGTTCATCTTCAGATGGGACCCATGCAATGAACAGTAAACAAACTGACTGTGACATGTGATAGAAATCAGGTGACCTGAAGCTATATTTTGCAGCTCTTATTTCAGACTAAAAGAGATTACCTCTGAGAGTACAAATTACAGCAGATCAGAGATCTGTGCCACTGTCTCTTTACACCAAGATACGTGAAAAGCCACATAAGCAGAAACAAATTCAGTGTGGTGGCTGTAAGAATTTCAGCATACTAAATTGGTAAGGCAATAAAAATGTGTTCATATATTTGGAGTACTGGTATCAAGGAAGAAAAACAGATAACAGGCCATACATCTTGTGGTCTGTAACGTAATGGCTATCTCGCAGACACACCCTGACAATTTACACGTTTTTTTAGTAGAAACAGTCACGTTTTTACTGTTCATCAATGTAACAAGCACCTACCACATATTTGCAATAGCATATATAGACTAGATTGACCTAACAACGAGTTGTTGGGTCTGAAAGTTTTAGCTGCAAAAATGTGCAAGTTCAAATACCAAAGGATGTGGAATTACAATCTTGGTACAGCGCACGCTTGTGCCTTCACATATGTCTTCATGTCCAATTAGAATATTTTGGATTCAGCAAACAGTAAAAAGAAATCTTCCTGCACAATGGGTTATATAACTGTTGCAAGTATTAGTACCTCGCACTGGCATAAAAGAATTATGGAATAAACAATTCTAAGAGACCCAAAATCACTTTTATAAGAGTTCATTACTGAAGATGTGCTTCTGGCTGCCTGCTACATCACACAGCATTTTCCTCTGCGTATCCTTCTATAAGGGAGAGATCTTTCTTGGACTTCATTTGGCTTCTGCTCTCCAGCTGGGTTCCTGCTACTCCACGAAAAATGGGTTTCTGCTGCATCTCTTAAAACAGAATGTCTGCAATTCTCCCTTCAACTGCAAGATCCCTGTAAGACTGGAAGGCTCCTGTTAGCAGAAAACCTAAGCTCCAAAGAAGAGAACCAGATGCTTTATGCTTGTCCAGCATAATGCAAAACAGTTACACTTTTCTGAATCTGTCTTCAGTGCTTAAAATTTTAATAGCATTTTTGTCACATTCATTTTAAACAGTTAACATCTGCAAGCTTAAAATTTTAAAACTTTCTAAAAGCTATTCTTGAATATTTGATTACGGACTACATATTTTGTTCTCTTTAAAGTAAAAACTGGGATGGGAACACGTCTCCAAAAACGTCGCATTCACCCAAATTTTTCTTCCACCAGGACCAAACCCACCTCTATCTCACCCATAGCTATATATGTGGCTTTTTTTTTTTTAAAAAAAAGATGAGAAGCAAATTTTTTGTGTAGCTGTGATTTATCATGCTCCTCACAGTCCTGAAATTACACAGAGCTGACAGAAGAATTTAAACAGAAATCTGAACTCAGAACAGAGAAGCCCGAATTCAAATAATAAAGCCAGTTCCATCTGCAAAAAGCTACTCAAACTGAAATGACAGTTAAAACATCTGACTGACCTAACTTTAGACCCCCCAGCTAGGTGTCTTATCTGTAGTAGTTGCTTGGGCTCCCTCTATAGGGAATGGAAAAAATCCAAACAGAACAGTTGTGATGAAAGTCTCCATAAATGCCTACATTAGCTCTAACTTTTGTTGGGAAGATGAGCCCTCTGGAGACACAAATCTCTGTCATTATCTATAACTGCAAATAAACAAGATGTCCACTTTATAAATGGCTAGCTGAAATTAACTCAGTCTCTTGTGTGGCCTCTGCAACCAGACATCTGAGGACTGTACAGCACAGGAAATTCAACTTGCATCTCTCAGTACCACAAACACTGTACTCACTGGTTAGTCACTACCAGCTCAGAATCCGGATTTATACAAAGCATAAAATCTCAAGGTACTTCAGAAGGCTGCACTTCCCATAAACGGTTCTTGTTAAACCCAGTGGTATTCCATTAAGTACTGTTTTGTCTTACAGATCTTACCGCGTAACCACCCCGTCATCAAAAAAATTTCCCTAAGATGCAGAGGAATAGTTAACGGACAGCACCTCCCAGGCTTTGTTGCTCCCAGTATGAAGCTAAGAATCCTTCTCTACATTTCTTGAAAACTCTACAACAGTGATGGCAAATCCATTCCTGGAGAGCTTAGGAAAACATATTTTTACTTCAGACAGAAATGTTGAAACTCTTGTTCTTACTAGTCTCTTGGGAAAAAAGTTTGGGCGTGGTGGGTTTTTTTTGACAATTTTTCCCCAAAACATTTATATTCTCTGTATTCTCAAGTAGTTTACTCTCATCTGTGGTTGAAATGCTTTAAATATATCTAGTTATGTGGACATAGCATTTCAGACTGACATCCTGCCAGAAGGCTAAGGGATTTAATAGTTATAAAGAGCACTGAACGAAAAGGCAGGAAAATTTCAGAACAGAATGCAGCCTGGGCAGCAGCAGTAGCCCAGACTACAGCAGGACCAGACACAGTAACATCCTCCACGGGACCAGCTTTTCTTGATGGACTCCCCAGTTACAGCAGAAGCACCAGGCAGTCACCTGTGAAGAACTGCCGTGCCTTCTTCTCTACCATAAAACCGTCACCAGGCTTGCTTTCCTGTCTCCCTGAGAGATCGTCAGTAATTAACATTAAACTCACTTCTGGAGTACACTGTAACTGTAGCTAAAAACAACCAGTCCTTCAGTTTGATTTACAACAGTTCCTAAACAGCCCCCTTACTCGTACACCATTAATAAGGGAAGCCAATTAATAACTCCAGCAGTCAGGAAAATGAGAATTCATATTCACTTTAAATCCCAGAGCAGGACTCAATTAAGTTGTACAGTCTGAAGAGCTCACCAGACACAGATCAAATGGAAACTCTTACAATGAATTTGTTGCAAGTTGAGTACACATGCTTAATTTATTAAACAAGTCTTTGGCTGAAGCTATGGAGGCAAATCATACTACAGCTTCTACAGGATAAAGACCTTTAAAGTATAGGTCCAAAGTACTTAGAGCAAAGAGGCTGAAGAATAAGCATGAGAATCTGTAGTTCTGTTAATGAAGGAGAGCTTTGATATTAAAAAAATTCATGTATCTAGGAGTCCTGCTTTGACTTCTGTAAACCTATAATGGTATGTTACATGACAGAAGAAAATTCCATTTTACTTGTAGCATAGAAGGAAGACAATTATAGGAAGAAGGAATTATAGTTTTTAAAAAACCCCAAACACTAAACAAATGAGCAAGGCATAACAGGAATCCTCAACATATCAATAAGCAACCCTATGACAATGTTTTCAGAGAGGTATGTATTCATATACGTTGCAGACAATTTTTGAGCTCTCAACTACAGTCTAAAATGTCCCTTTGTAAATTTAGCTTAAATCTATTATAAGCACAGTAAAATTTAAAAGAGTGCATTTTGAAATACTATTCTTTGTTAAGGGGTTCCTTCTGGCAAAATGCAACCACCAGCTATTCTGAAATTATTTCCAGGAAAATCTAAGCTCAGACTCTCACGACTGAAGCCAAGCCCAAGAAGTTAATCACACTTTCTGACTTATCACAGACAGAATTTCTATCACTTCACAATTTGTTTTAAAATCTAGTACTACCTTGAATAGTTACAAGCTTTAACATGGCTTCTAGGTGTTCCTTTTCAGAAGCTGTAGCTTGATGCAACCAGGCCAGCATGTCTCCTACATACCTAAATAAAGACAGACATTTCTGTGTAAATCAGCAGTTTATGGTGTCAGGGATTCCAGTTTTCAAGAGGCAAAAGAAGGATTACTTCATATACATTCTTGCTAGTACGGTACCTCAGAGGGTCGTGGGAGTGCATTTCAATAGGGCGGGGAGTACCTCCCACACCTCCTCTAGTAAGAGCATCTATAAAGCCACGGACTACTGCACTCCTTCTAGCTGTTCCAAACTCGTCCAAGGTGTACCTGTTATTGAAACATGAAAATGGGTAAAATAAAGCAGTTCGCCTCATCACAGTTTATTAGCTCAATTTTACAGTTAATAAGACAAATCATTTTTGAGAGTTCTAGAACTCTTGTAGCAATGCTTCTACTGTGAAGCATTCAAAATCATCTGATTTTCTTGACTCCTCTGAACAGATACTAGAGGTAACTTTTCCTTGACCCTCCCACTCCCTTACCACACACAAATAAATAAATAAATGAAAAAACAGCTTTTCCATTTTTGTACAGATAAGTATGAATGGAGAGGTCTAGGACTCCTGTTCACGTGTGGTCTGGCTGACTGACAGAAGCAGCAACTTACTACACTGCAATACAAGGCTCTCTCCTTCTTCCAGCCTACCACATGATGAGAAGCAAAAAAGTTATTTTCATTTGATAGTTGTTCACTGGTTTTAATCAAGTGAGTCTTACTTAGATATTTAATGGATGGACAATTACAGCCCAGAGTGCATGATCTCAAATGGCTTGCTGCTAGTAGAGGAGGTACCAAGAACATACACACAGCTCATTTTTGGAGCAGGCTACCTTTCTGTTGGGGCTGAAGCACAACAGCCAGTGAAGGATGGGAAATGAACACCGCTAACAACCCTGTTGCTTCTGCTAGAAACACAAGAAACATGATTTTTGCAAGCCACAGAACACCCCTATTTTTTGGGGGGTGGGGAAGAATTTAAGCATTTTGAACAAAACACACAAATTACAAAGGAAAAAAAGAAAATACAGATGACAGCTTATTTTTCCAATATAACTGAAGAAATGCCAAACAGTAAGCATGGTGTCACTTACCAATGACACCCAGCAGCTGAACAGATACAAAAATAATAATAGTAAAAAGCATGTTACTCACTGACTGAAGTTAAATGAGTACTGCATTCACAGTTAACAGATGCGGAGAACAAAATACAAAAGAAAATAATATTCTGTTCCAAACATGTTCCAAGTTAAGTTCAATTAGATTTCTATTATGTGATACAAAGTCCAAAGGAACCTTCAGTTTTGCTCTTTTCAATCTACATTACTATTTGTGAGAGGGGGAAAAAAGAACACTGAAGAATCCAGAAATTTCTGTTTACATCTTTTTCTTAATACACTGTACTTGTTAACTCGGTGAGTAAATATCCGCAATAAAAAAAAAGTCTACTGAAAAAAATCTTTAATAAAGTACTATTTACAAGAATTATGCAATTAAAAGCAGGAGAGATCTGGGATGTGCTGACTACCCACAGTCCAGGAGCAGCAGCACTGCAGTGAGAAATCTGAAGTGTTTGTAGAAACCAGCTCAGCTTTTTTTGTCTTCCCCCTCCAATAAACAGCTATACAATAGATCATTAAAAATACAACAGTGAAACAGATCTTGTGATCTTATTATTAGTTTTGAAAACAGCTTTTAATGATAATTGTTTTAAAAAGAAAAACAGAACAAGTAACTTTCCTTTTGCTCTCAGTAGAACAGGGTATAACTATTACAAAATCCTGCATTTTAAAAAATTTGGTAATAACTATTATTTACACTAGGAATGCAGTATTTACTACTATGTTATTATATGTACTCATGTCAGGGGAAGAAAACAACATTTGGATTCTTTTCAACCCAGCTTCAATTTTTTTAAAAACCCAGTAAAGTAACAATTGCGGCGAGGAGAGGAAGGAGGTGGAGCAAAAGCTTTGAAAACCAGAGTGGATGATGGAAGAGGAACAGTGCTTTGAGCTACGACTCCATGTATTTTCTGTGAAACAGTTTTCAATTTTTCTGTTAGAACCAGGAAGTGAAAACCGAACTGAAATGTTTATTTCGGATCCCTGCTGACTGCCGCTCCCAGAAGCCCATCCACAGTGCAATCTTTCTGCCACCTTACGTTAGCAAGACGTAAGTCAATATAAGAAAACAAGAATTTGTAGTTCTGTTTCTAAACTCCAGCTCTTCCCCATCTTACTCGCTTTCACCCAACCAAATCACAACCTTTATCAGATGCAAGGGCAGTGATTTGGAGGAAGAGTATTTTGTTCACAGAGCAGTGCTTAGATGCATAAAACCAACAATTTACAACTACTTTCTTCTATCACATAATTTTTACATCTTGAACTCAACAGTTTGTTATGCACTAAAGGGATACAAAAATTTCTGGAAGGAAGCAAACTAAATCTCCAGTTTTAAAATGTAAAGCATCAGTACTGGAATTCTGACAATACCGCTGTACAAGTAGTTCACATGATAATCAATCCCTGATAAGAGACATGTGGCTGCATCTTCTACAGTAATGTTTACTTTTGCCTTTTTGGCAGAAGAAAAGTCCCACCTACCAAATTCTACGCTTGGTAATACTAGTGTTGCTGTTTGCCAGAGAGATGTCAGTAATAAAATAAAGCCTCTTTTGCAAATTTATTTTAAACTGGCCAGCTGTGGGTTTATATAGAAGATGGGAGGTTTTTTTCCATAAATGCTAAGAAAGTATAACAATGATTTTACGACATCAGAAAGTAACAAAATTTAACAAAATATTTATTACAGAAAATATAAACCGTATCTATAAAGAATCCTGTGAAATGTTGTGAACACAGCTGTGACTGATCCTTGGCAGCTGTGAAGGAGGGCCTGGAGGAGAGAACAGGAGGATGGATCTGCAGTCCAGTAGCTGGGGAGGCTGAACGACACCATCTCTCCCTTAAATTAACTAGCAGAACTGACTGAGAATGTTGATAGGCACGCTCTCTCCCATACTGACAGAATTTGTCCAGCCCACTTGCACTACGCATTCTCCCTGTGAACTGGGCCACGAAGTGTCACTACCCCCACCTTTACACATCTGACAGCTCTTACAGACAAGGCTAGCCTTTGAAAGACTGCCTAGCACCCTGATGTCCTGGATGCCTGTGGCTAAAAGCAATTTGCAAGAGTTGCAAAATGTGCTGAATGCATTTTTGAAAAAAAAAAAAAAAAAAACCAACAAAACTAAAAAGCAAAGAAGTATAAGTAGTACCTCTTCAGGTATGGTCCCCCCAATAAAGAGAGTTCTTATATTGCCACCTCGTGGTTAAGTTGTCTCTACCAAGTACCATTTCATTTATGTTAAGAAGTCCTTTCACCAAATTCCAAACAATTAAATAAACAGTAGTATCTTAGATAGATATATATATACACACACACACACACACACACACAGAGACATAAAGTGCCCCTATGTTTTAGAGGCTCGTATGTCATAGATTTTTTTATTACCTATTACTGTAGAACTGGTAATGGAAGACATTCTTACTACTAGAAGCCCTTCAGTAAAAGCTAATTAGCCTTTATCATTTTTTTACTTGGGGAATTTAAATGAGACAATGACATGCTTTGGATAGTATTATTTTCTTCAGGAAAACCCTACAATGAGAGCAGCAGAAATTCATTTAGATTAAAATAAAAACAGTCTGACATTTTACTTTAACTAGAAACCAGTAAGTTGGAAAAAGTCCAATGACATTTACTGTACCATAATTATGTCAAAAAGACTTCTGAAATTTAAAGAAGTTGAAATATGATTTTTCATTTTTAATTTTTTTTAAATCTGTCACAGGACTAAATTGCCACCATCTTTGGCACTGTAATTCCTGCCCATCTTTAAATTTTGTAGGCTGGAAATACTAATTTCTGTTAGATAATCACAAACATTTACTTACTTATAGAGGACAGGTCTGTCTTGTAAGGCTTCCATGGCTTGAGCAAGAACTGGAGAAATGTCACATGATTCTTGTGTCAAAGTCCTGCATTCATCTATAAAATATCAACACAGATAAAAATCACATTCTTTACACTGTAAAACCTTTTATAACAAGCTGTCAAACAAGAAAACGAGTTAAAAACTCGAAGGTTTTTGATTTTGAATTGAAGCCTTCAGAATATGCTACTTGGCCTAGTTTGTGTTAATGTAATGTAATTCCCCCCTGAGCTATATACCTCACTGTAAAACGTGCATCCATCACAAATTCCAACAATGATAAAAATTCAAGAAAGCTCAGTATCTGTTTGCACCCACATACAAATGTTAAATCATTCAACCATCATAAGTCTGTCAGGCTCCTTTATAACTGCTTATCACATTCCAGGTAAACTATTAAGAAAAAAGGGAGCAAGTATTTAAACAAGTTGTGGGTTTGTTTTGTTGTTTTTCACAGGGTTTTTTTGTTTGGTTGTTGTTTTTTTTTTTTTTTTTTTTTACTTTAAGCACATTAACTACATAATCTCCTATATTCCATACAAGAACATGGAAATCATATAAACTAAACCGAACATCAGCATTAGAATTATTAATTTTCTTTAGGGTGAAACCACCACTATTTGAGATTTCAGCATCCACTGAAGAACAGCCAATGAATATAATATCACACTGAACCAGTTTTTTTCCACAAACCTTCCTGTCGATGTCTTAGGAGAAAAGAGAAGTAATAAAAAAGCATCGACATTTTACACAATCAAGGTGTCACATCAAACACTTGACACCTGGATCCAGAGTACGTGTGCACAAGAGTAGTCACCCACTATCATTCAAAAGATCATTCTGATAAAATAAGGTTGGCTTTTTTCCTTTTCTGAAGGTAATAAGCCACTCCATCCCACTAAATTAGATCTTACTACCCAATCGTCAAAAACAACTTCCCTGTAACCTGCAAGAAAATTAAATGCAATACACTTAACAATTTGCTTAGACTATCAAACTGTAGTTGTTCTCTGTGGAAAATCACCTAAAAATACAACTAAAAAATACACTTTTACAAACAGAAATTAGATTGGCCCAAAAGAAGAGAGAATCTCCAATTAACTATTTGGTTCACAACCAATCTTTCACTAAGGAAGGAAGTCAAAGCCTTGGAAATGAATCTTGAAAAAGGTTTTTGCCGAGTTCAATCCACATCGAGGAATTAGAGGAATCATCATAATAATATTCATAAACATAAAAACATTCGTAGTCCTACTTTGAGTCCATCTGTAAAGTCGCTCATAAGATGTCTCTTGCAGTAAAGCCATCTGTTCCATAATTTCCAAGCTACAAGACAAAAAGATTTTATTTGCAAATACTATTTTAGGTAGTACTAGCAAAGGAATGTACAAATCAAATAAAACACACCATTATTAAAATTATGAAAACTTAAAAATATGTTACTATTGTTTTTTTGGTGAAATAGTCTATATAGTCATATAAAGTAAAGAGTGAGACCCTTCTGTAACTTCTGCTTTTAACTAGTAAATGGTTATTCTCGCACTCATTTAAGTAGCACTCACCCTGCCCTTTGCTGGTTTGTCCGGAGGAGAATCTTGACGTCATCATGGATTTGCTTTACTCTTCCCAAAGCCTTGAAAAAATCCTAAATAAATTTAAAAAAAGGTGGGGGGCAGTGTTTAAATACAGCAAATTCTCATTCAAATCTCTAGCACTCTATTCTCCCCATTTCAATTCTGCGTTTATGATTTTTGCAGGTCTGTGTTCCAAGTGCTGCCTCTGAAATAGAAGCCCCCCTCTTCCACCTCTCGTCTTTCATTCCACCTTAAGAGCCTTGGGATTTTTTCTTTCCCATTGCACCATGCCTTTTTTCCACAAAAAAAACAAACAACCAGACAAACAAAAAAATAGCAGCACCAAAGATGTGTTTTTAACCTGCCTTATGTACCATGTGTGTGTTTTACATTTATTAGTTGACACTAAGGAAATTTTGAGGACATTTCTATGCATTCCATCATCTTGTTCCCATTCACATTAGCAACTAAAGAGCAAATTGAAACATTATAAAATACAGTGACTACAGATTGATACTTTTTGTTTTCATACAATGCAGTAACAATTTCTAAGAATAACCAAACACTTGCAATAGACTAGACCAAGGTTTTCCAGGACAATCTTTCCCCTCAGAATAACTCAGCAGCAGCAGTGAAGAAAAACCCCTTTTTTGTTACTGTTTCAGAGAGCAAATGGAAATCCAGTAACATTTTCAAACACATATCTTATTATGAAGTCATCTTTCAAATATCATGGAGGAAACTAGCTAATTCAGATATAACTGTTTGTTTTATCTTGTGTGACTTGAACACAGTTTGCCTCAGGAAAGCATGGTTTCATTCTGGCTCGAGTGACATAAAAATATACATATTCTGAGTGAAGTAGGACACCAACTTAACCTACTGCCTTGCATCAACTGTGTTGAAGACCATGATTATAAAAACCCAAATCACTCTTCCTTCAGGAAAAAAAAAAAGCATTAAAAAATTGCCAAAACAGAAGCTGACTAAAAATGTTTTAAGCACACCCGTTGATTCTACCATAGGGGAAAAGCACACACATGATTTCACTGAAGCCTGCCATTTTATTTACTTCTGCACATTTTTTAAGACAGATCAAAGTATCAAAAGGCCTAATCCTTGTTCTGCTGCAAACCAAGCACTGGTTCAATGGCACAGCGTTGCGGTCGTTGTTCCCTGCAACACACGTCGTCCTGCTTTCGGATGGGACAGTTTTTAGAAGCCTGACTGTTCTCTCACAGTAATAGTTGGTACAGAGGCATACAGCAACTGCTCAAGTGCACAACCATCTAACACATTCCACTTATGCTTTCCTTAGCCCTGCTTACGGTTATCTGTTCCGTATCTTTCATAATGCTTTACACTCAGACAGGATGCCTGTGGAAATGAGAGAGTACGTCCCAGCAGGTAGTCTACATTTAAGTGAAGGTTTCTATGCAACCACAATAATAAAAATCTATTAAGTGTACTCAATTCACTCATTATTCACTTTGCTTTTACTGGAAAACAATGTGCCTTCTTATTCAAACCATAAACATATTCAAAAACTTGTTTTGGAAGGTGGCTAAAAGTGAATCAGCACCTAATATCTTCATCAATCAAATAATAATGAGGGAAATTCTCAGCTTATATTGTTTCAAGTCACTGAATACCTATATACTTGCACATGCAAAATGCACACACACATGCACAAAGACAGTACTACATATTACTCAAGCACTGCAAATTTCTCATTTGCTTTGAGTGTGATGAAGTTGTTTTAAAACATCATCTTCACTGAAAATTCAGACTTCACAAAGGTCTTCTGAAGTGTAGAACCACATGATAGCTCATTTGTCCCTTAAACTCATTACACGTATGAGAATTCAATGTTGATTTTCTTTGTTACTTGAATCTTTTATCACACATTTCAAACTCATCAGAAATTCACCATTCTGTTAAAAGGTACATTCCTCCCTAAGAAAAAAAATTACAAACTGATAATAAGATCTCATGTACAGTTCAGCTAGGACGCGTCTGTATTTTAGTTCAGGGCAAAGCTTTTAATGTTGATTGAGCTACCTCAGTAATTGGCTCATCTTTCATGCCTCGAAGGAGGTTCATTTCATCTGGTGTCAGTTGGAATTTTGCTATGAATGCGTCTGCAACTTGTGCTTTCATTTCTAGTCTCTGACTGTAAGAAAACAAAGTGAAGAGGACATTACCATTTTCTGCTTATCTCAGATTTATTTTGCATATTCATACTTTTGGAAATCTAATTAGCATTAGAAATCAGCGTTATTAAATTCTAATAGTACATTCTTGCCAGCAAACACCTGAGTTGCACCGTCACATTTTTCTATTAAGCTTGCATAGACTGCTGAGTAAAGAGAATAGAAAGGGAAGTTAGCATATTTGAAAACTAGGAAGTTATTTAAAAAAATATTCCTTTAGTGTTGTATCACAAGTTATCTAATCCAGATACTTTGAGCTTGTACAGTTGTAATGTTTGCAGTTACTTCCTTTCAAATTCATCAAGGAAAGAATGGAGTTTCAGCTCATGTTTTCAGAGATACAAAACTGTAGCAGCCAAAATGATAAAATGATCATTAATCCACTTTTCTGTAGAACTGATCAATTCCTTTCAAACAACACACAGTTGAGATACAAATCTACTAATCTCCCAAGCAATCAAAGTGTGAAGGCTAATTCTCTTGATGCTTACCCTCCCTGCAATAAACACAGCAGGGATGCAACATCCAAACGCCATCTCGTGGGCAGCGTCTTTCTGCACGTTTTGTCACACCTTAAAACCACAGAAGGACCCAAATAAATACAGTTTTATTCCATAGGAAGGGACTGGAATCCCTGTAGCACATCCCTGTGGTTCGAGCACATAGCATTCCAGGAAATAAAGACTACTTTTTCAGGACACTGAGAAGACACTAATTAGTTATTTGTAGAAGAGTAAGGCTCAATTACTTTAAGACCGTTTCAGCTTCCAATGTAATTACTGCAAGATAAATACACTGTTATTATAGGGTGGTAAGACAGGCAAGATCACTTCTACTACTGACTGCAATAATGAAATTTCCTTATATGATCAAAGCTTGAAAACCAAGCTTTTATTTATTTACCCCTTCTCTACTATCCAGCTTGCGTCTGGACTTCATTCAGATGAAGAAGCTTGGAAAACTGCCTTCCCTTTTGCAGCTGTGGATGACCTTCCCATCCTGCAGCTCCACAGACTCTTTTAGAGATCAAATTAAATGTTTTGCAATTACCAGTGCCCTAGAATACTTAACAGCAAAAAGGAGGGAAATATAAATCCAACAGTGTTTTAAGAGTAAAATCTATGAAAATCAAAGGTGAAAGAAACCCAGTACTTGTGAGTTACACAGAAGACACCTAAACAAAAAGGAGAACCAAAACCTCATGCTTTAATAACATATCTTTAACTGGTAAGTCAGGTTTCCCCAGGGTCTTATGCAGATGTGTCTATTTTGCCTTTACACTGACAGTTTTTCAATGCTTAAAAATCAATCTATTTAATTTTCTCTAAGCGAACTCTACAATTGCAAATTTGGGGTCCCCATGAAGCTGAATGTTTCTCACGAAGGAACAAGCGTGATGGAGGATGATTCTGGCCAGCTAACCTGGCGAGGACAGCAGATGTATCCACGACAAACTGACAGTTTCTAAGTAATCTGGTGGCAGCTCACTGAAAATGAGGAAGACCAGGGAAGAAGCCTAAAAAGAGTGGGTTCAAGAGTGTATACACAGCTTGGAAACAAGAAAATGAAGGTACAGGAAGAAATGAAAGCTATTTGTAAGAGAAGAAAGAGATTGAGAAGCATCGTGACGGTTTGGCAAGGAGGTGGAATCAGTTTTATAGCACGAGGAACGGGGCACTGGGAGAGGGATACAGGGGAGAATGGGAAGTACCAAAAGGCTGGGGGCAGAGAGGAGGGACGTGTGAGGTGATGGGTCGGAACGGATGGAAGATGCCCCGTCCTCTCTTTGAATAACTTTATCTAAATCTCTCGTATCGGGGAGAGGACACATGAAACTATCTTCAAACCTCAACAGACCTGGCACTGTCTTCCAGCCCCACTCGATACGCTTTTCTGACACACAAAGTGTGGCAGACCTCACCACAGTGGAAGGAGAATGGAAGAATACGTTTTGAACACATTCACTGAATTTTCAGCAGGAAGATTAGGCGAGAATACATGAAGAGAAGAAGCTGTGGTGTAACTTCAGCTGGAGACAGAGGAAAAAGCACCAAAAGAAGCTGTCTACAAAACATAACAGAATCAACAGACAGGAGGATACTAATCAAAGAGTATTTTCAATTACGTATTAGGCTTGTGACAGATTTTCTGACGCTAACTACGTCATTCTCACAGCACAGATGGAGACTGACCCGGCCTGCTCTGCAGCAGCAGGCCCCACCGCTCCCACTGCGCCAGAACCGCTGCCTCTGCTGTGACCGGGCGAATCGCATCAGGGAATAACGCTGGCAGGAGAAAAACCACAAGGTTTTATTTTCTTTTGGGGGTGGATGTTATATGTATTCTCCAGTTCAGTTTCCCAGTGGCCTGCACTAAGGGACTGTGGGATATTAAGTTCTGTACAGGCACACACCCGGTGCTAAGGGGTGCGTCAGCACGGGGAGCTGCCAGCGGCCAGGGAGCAATGACTTCGTTCACTGCTGCTATGAAGCTACTCATGAAAACTACATAACTCTTCTGGGGTATAAAAAGAGGTAATTTCAACAGTCATTTACAACAAATAATAACAATAATAAAAAATACCCTCCCCTCTCAACCTCCCCCAAAACCCAGACGCTTATGACAGAGCTACTCAAACTGAAAATCAGGACACTTACAATTTGACTCAATGATAGTGTTTTCAACAGTGCATTCTTGTTTCATGCCATTGTGCTGAGGAGGCCTAATCCATCACCATCATTGGATTTGGTTGAAACAACAGACAGTGTAATTTATCGAATTAACTTTAGTGAGCTAACTTTATTTAATAGTTGCTACAAGTCTCTCCTCTTATGATAGAAATCTCTATTTAATATAAAACCACAGGGCTGAAAATACTTACACTGGATTATCCTTCCCTTTAAGGAAAAGAAGGAAGGTAGGAAAGAGTCTAGAGAAAGAAAATGCAAGACCTTCTTTGGTTTCAACTTCAAGAAGATCTCCCATAAACACAGGAACAAATGAGATGTCGATAAACTTCTCTGTTCTTTGAACCTGTGTATCTCCTGAGTGTACACACTTTTAAGTGCTCTTACAGAGGATCTCCATTTACTACTATCTCCCGTTCTTCAGACTTTTTGAATGTATACTTTCATCAAACTGGGAGCAGGGGGAAATCTGATTTTTAAGAGGTGCAATACAGCGAGCGTAACGGGTTTTTTCAGTTTGCTTTGCAGATTTGTCAGAATTAGGGTTGTAGACTTTCAAAGAACAAGGATCAGAGTCAGGAACTGTACAAACGGCACGCTCGTTAGTCCCCACTGCAGTTCTGCACCCCCTTCACATCTGGGGCTATAAAAACAAACGGCGGAAGATCTCACTTGTCAATCTCTCTCTGCCTCCAAGTCCTCACTCTGCAGTCCTCTCTCTGTTGCTTTTTTGCTACTACAGAGGACAAGGTTCAGTCAAAAATTGTGCTTTAAAGCCACTCCCATTCCTGGCTGTTTCTTTGGCTAACACCTGCTGTAACTGCTCACTGACCCATTCTGCACACTCCCAATAAATAACTTTTATAAAACAGTCGATGGATTAAAGTCTAGAACACCGGCAAGTTACAAGTTTCACAATGTAAACACAAGACAACAACCTCGAGGTGGCAGCAATGTTCCATCTAGCTTTCCCAAGAGTGATTTGGAAGTGGTGAGAAACATCTACTCTAAACCTAAAAGCATGCGTCTGAATTTGATAACGCGGTTTCTTTTGGGCTCTTTGCAAAGGATGTGGGATTTCAACAGGCTACCCAGTTTCAAAACCCAGGTTAGCTACTTCTGCTCATGCTGTCTATGAAAGTTGCCTTAGCTAGCAGTCAACGTGAGAAAGGGATCCTATATCCTAGATGTTGGATCAGGAACAAAACATCTAAGTGCTATGTACCCTTGACTAATACTGTATACTGCCAAGCAGAAGTGACGCCAATACGTTCGCGTAGGAATTTAATTATTATTTTTTTTCCTCAGATATAAGCTAACAGATATTTAACCACAATTTAATCATTCTTATTAAAGCAGGCAAATGGATTAAAATATCACACAAGTTTGCTATAGTTATTTCAGTGCAAGAAGTGCTATGCAAACCACAGTGCAGGTAACAACAAGAACTAGAGCAAGGCCACCTTACGTATCGCCCACAGCAGTCTGTACACGTGCAGACACTTTGGCATTTCAGGACTCACTGGCCTTTCTGTAAACATAATCATTTCTAAATTGTGTTCTAAACAAGTGTAGTACAGAAGAGGAAAGGCCACACTACTATTATTCTGAAGTCGGTGTTTGTCTTTTACAAAATTATCCCTGCATAAAGGAACACCACTAACAGGTTACAGGAACACTGCACCAATGCAAAGGGGGAAGTGCCAAGCACTGGGAGACTTTGGAGCTTGAGCAGGGGGACGGGTCTCCAACAAAGAGCAATTTCCCCACTTTCAATCGTTACCAGGGAGACAGAATTCTTTTGCAAGAGAACTCAAAAGCATGGGAAAACTATGCACTTCGTACATTTCTCCCTTGAACCAAAGACAAATGTGCACTGTTTGTTGGGATTATCACCTAGACAGCTCAAAAAACGAGGTGGAGGAGAAATATGCTTTTCCAAAGTTTAATTTTATCTTGCCACCGAACAGCACAAAAATCTGCTAACTTCCTTTACCTAGGACGAGTCATAGCAGTACATTCTGAAATTACTTTCAGTCGGTGGTTCTGAGGATGCAAGAGACTTTTAAAGCCTCAGAAACATGGAGTATTTCTGACTCACAAAGAAATAACCATCTTTAACAGACATGCAGCTGGAAAAATTATCTTTCTGTGATGGTTTTTGTGAAAGGCAAATATACAAGACTATGTAACAAAACATCTACACACAAGTAACCATTCTTAAGTAAAAGTACCAGGTGCAAAAATGCATTTGTAATTGCTGAGAACAAATG